ATATTTTTAAAAAAGAAAGATACTTTTTCAATTAGGAAATTAAAAAAAACAGGCATAAAGAAGACAAAGTATTGTTTGTGTGCAAAAGAAATATAATGATGTTATTTATTTTTTCCAATAATGCTTTGTTTATTGTGTCTGCGACTGTACAGCCTTTCGAAGCAAAGTAAGCTAATCGGTTATCGTTATGGCAACCGGAGGACGAGGTTCCTGACAAAAAAAATAAGAAGAAAAGACAAATCGGAAGGGAGCAGGGGCAGCTGGAGCAGCGTCGGGCGAAGCTGAGCGCGTAGGAGTCTCTTAAAGAGCAGAGACTAAATCAAAGTCAACATCAATGCAAACGTGTGGGAAAATACATTTTCACGCACATTGCTACTAAATATATCATTATTATCATTTGAAATAATATTTTACACAAAAAATCCAAAACAAATTTATTTAGCCGTTTGACTTGTTTAGACATTCTATCCCCATTTAGTTTTGGTTGTTAGCAAAGTTTATTGTTAATTTTTGTTCGGCATGTCGTCCTGTGCAAAATGGAAGGGATTGTTTAGCACCGGCACAGGAAGGTTTCCGTTGGGGGAGGTAAAAGAACGACAGGCAGGCGAACTGCAATCAATAGGTAAGTGGATGACGCACATGGAAGGGAATTCGAAGCTGTTCCGCCGCTCCCGCTGCCGCCACCGCCGTCGCCGCGAACATCGTCGTTTTCCTTAACGAAGGCCACGTGTGGTGCACGTGTTTTACGCTCTCGGAACCCATTCACATGGTTACAGATACAAGTTAATTACTTTCAATTATCCTACCGGCTTCAAATTGTCCATCATTCGTCGTAATCGTTCACTTACTTTTCACCATTTTCTCTTTAGGTTAATGTCACTTTTCAAGAACAGATTTTATTTTTTTATTTTAGTGGGAGCTTTCGACATTTAGGAGAATGAAATTCAGTTCTCCTACGTATCCCGCCGCTACACAGCATTACCTGTGTTTGGTGGATCCGAATTTTTACTCGTGGATGACAGTTTCGATGGTTAAGAGCCCTCCCGGAATTTTGTCGCCGGGCCGGGCCAAACGCCCGATTTAGGCTATTGAAGTTCGAGACAAGGAGGAAAAACATTTTGGTTTTTGGGGGGCAGTAAACTGACCCAAAACTAAGTCCCCCCCAACCAGGGATTCAATGTCAACTCTTGATAAAAAATTATTAGCGGCAAGAAACAATATTTTAGCATAAAAGAGTATTTATTGCTTGAAGAAAAAAATTCTTAGTGGAAAAAGTATAGTTCTCTTTCAACCAAGTGCAAAGTGTTTATTATTATTCATATTTACGCAATTCATTCAAGATACATCACAATTATCCCAATAGCATGTCAATATTCTAACAAAATCTCGTAGCTTCTAATACATGGGATGGGATGCAAAACGCGCACACCGTTTGCGGCACACGTGTTTAGTACGTTTTGTATCATTGCAACTTGCAATTCGCCATTTTCTAGGGGCAGTGATATAATATTATAATTATATTATAGGTATTTCTAATTTTGCGCTAAAAAACGTTTTCTTTATTCAAAAGAGAAATATCCTCCGAAGATATATTTTTGGTTCTTGTACCAAGAAATCGTTTGATCTTGATTTAAGCTAATATTGTAATAAATATCCTTAACGAATAGATTCCCTCAAGTAATTTTAAAAAATGTATTTAAAGATAGTTTCTGATTTAGATTAAGAAACATAGCTCTTGGCCCTATTCAAAAGCGCAAATATTTTGAAAGATTATTTTTTTCAGTGTGGGGTTCATGAATGGGGCTTGGTTGGTTAGTACGCTGATTGAACTTATCTTTGCTGGTCCAGAATGGAATTCTATAAATTTAAAATATAACATAACCTTATAATATTAGATCTTAGTGAATATTTAATTTAATTTTACAATTTTTACGAAACATGCGCAGTGCGATTGTAAGTGTAGTTTGTGTTACTGATGCGCAGAACGGTAGGTAATCAACTTAATAAACTATTGCAAATAATCTTTAATGAGCAGAATATTTATCACTATACTTCCTGGGACTTCTCAATTATATGACAAAAATAACCATTGCTGTTGTCAAAGTAACCCGTGAGGTTTTATTTTTTTTATAATTTTAAATGGTACATTGACCTTAACCTGGATTAGTGTTCTGCGCATCATATTTTCTCCGTGTCAGTACTCAAATTCCGCATGTCAAATTTTTGACATTAAATATTGACAATTATTATTTAACGCAAACCAACAAATTATTTTTCAACAAAGTATCAAAGTGGGTATGTTTTTCTTATATAATTTCGGGTGTAAGTTCAATGTTCTCTATCGATTACATTGTAAACCTTGAAGCTATTTTTTCTCTTTAATAAGTGAGTAAGTTAAACACAAAAGTAACAAAAATAACTTGATAAATAGTATTATTGTTTAAATATGTCAATAGTTTCTACTTACTGCTACAGTTTTAAACACTGAATGTAAAAAATAATAAATCAATTATGATATAACCAGACAAACATAATGCGAATCCGCATTCATTTAGTATACCGGGTGTTAAAATAACAACTTTTAAAGCAAACAAATACGTTTTTTTAGTCACGGGCTGAAGTTAGCAACAGTGGCTTTTGGGCATTTTAGTCACGGGCTTTATTATAAATTGAGGAAAAGTGAGGTTCAATCCGTTGACATTTGACAGATGTCAAATGTTTAACAAACAAAATAGGATTTAAATTCATCTGTATGTTCGTCGTAGATTATTCACTCGCCTGCAAGCTTCGCTCGTGCCTAATAAAACTCGTAACTAAAATGGCGTTTATACAACTTGATACATAATATACTATTATCTACTCCCCCATTAATAAGCTGTGACTATGGCGTTTTAGTCACGGGCTAAAGTTAGCTTTGTTATAAATTGGGAAAAAGTAAGGTTAAATGATAAAATTGGTTTTAAATTTTGTTTTGTGTTCGTCGTAGATAAAGTATAGTATGCAACTCGTTTATAAACTTCTCTAGACACTCGTTTTTATTAAACACTCGCTCGCAAGCTTAGCTCGTGTCTTATAAAACTCGTAGCTAAAATGGCGTTTACAAAACATAATACATAATATACAATTACATTTCTATTACCGGTTTTCACTGCAATATAACAAATAAAAAATAAATAAAACAACAAGCTAAATTGACTATTAATTTTTATGCTTGCACATAAACCTACATGTAAACAAGAATAATTAAACAAATAAGTTCCAAATACTATTATATACTTATATGTATATAGGTTCATGACAGAAGGGCTCACCCTGTGTATACATTTATTTAGGTACATGTGATCCGTTTTTTATGGTTTAAATATAAAATCGTTTTGTTTTGGATATATCCACATATATGTGGAAAAATTCAATTTCAATAAATAAACGGGGTGGCCCAAAATGAATATTTGTAATTATATGTACATATATTAAAATGTTTCGAAATATAATATTTTATGTATTTTGCGTTCATAATGACTTCATTATAAGTTATAATTTATAACACCGCTTTTGGTGCTGTAATGAGAAAATTTTGATTTTATAGGTTGGCTATACTTTAAACAGCATAATATTTTGAATATTGGTTATAATATTTTTATGATTTTTCTAGTACTTACGAGACTTTTCTGGCAATAAATTTTATTTAACACCAAAGAAAATCCTTTTTTTCTTCTTTAACATTAACAGCCGCTTATTGTAAATTAGTAAATTAAGGACGGCATGGCGAATCGATTTTGACATTAACTGTCAAACCAATGACTGTGATACCAACTATCTAAAGTAAAATTCGACCAAAATAAATTTAAGTTATAAAATTAACTTTTTTGCAAAATAGATAAACTAGCATAAAGAATTCATGTCGTAAGACCTTTTGTCGCACTCGTCCATTATAAATTGTCCGCGTGCGACAAAATGACGTCTTATGACATTAGTTCTTTAATATACTATTATTATATTATGTTTTGATTTTTTTTATATTTGTTATAGTAAAAGTACCTACTGATTCTTTCATTGTTTAAAATTTGTCAGGGGGGTATGCATCTCGTTGTAGGCAAGCTGCGATGTTTGGTAATTATAGGCAGGAGGTCTATAAAACTTAGAGTTAAGATTGCTTGGTAGTTAGGCTCGTGTTATACCACGTGTGCTGGTGTGTTTAAAACAGATGCGACACGGACAGGTCTGGTCTGGCACTGCAGGGGAACAAAAGGGAACGCGGAGGGCAAAGGGGATACACCATATTCTTTGCCATGTGCACACATATGCACTTGGTCTCGATGGGGTCCGAAACATCCCTCCTACATTTTCTTGGCTTTTAAGATGCGTATCTTACATGCTGCATTTTTAACCAAATATACAGAGCAACTTACAGTCTTAATTTTCAAATTTTGTTAATTTGATTTTTTTGTTTAAGTCTTGTTAATAATGGGACAAGAAATATTATGGTATACCACTACTAATTATAAAGTGGACACTATGTATAATTTTACATGGTTTTATTCAAACTTGATTAGATAAACTTAAAAACGTAAACATAATTTTGCCAGTGAGATAAAACTGATAATTTATAGAATCTTAGTAAATATTTAAATTTTCACCGAATTGTAATGGATAAATTCATAATTGTAAATAAAACATTAATTATTATAACGTAAACAAATTGACAGAAGCATTTTTTATAAAATATTTTTTGACTTAATAAATCAATTATAATGTATCATTGATGAAATTTGTCTTGACCTCCAAAAAGATGACTAATATATACCTTCATCTTTTTAGGTAAAGATAATTTTATTTTAAAATATTTAAAGTTTAGTTTTTTTAACTTAAATGCTAAATACATCAAAAACTACTACTTTTTTTGTAATTTTTGTATGCATAAAATCTTCGTATGGTATTGGAGTGCCATTTTCAGGACACACTGCTTAAAGTCATTATTATAAAAATCAGTAAAAACTCACCTGTTACGGAAGCTTATATTCCATTATAAAAAATAAGGCCTGAAAAAAGAAAAAGTATTTTTACTTTAAAATAATTTTTGAATAAAACTACATTCTAACATGTTTTTCTCCCCCCACCTATAAATGTTTCCATGAAACAAAGTAATATTTAAAAAACACAGCTTTATGCCGCTTTGGTCACTGGCTTACTTCTAAAATAAGATTTATAGTTTATAAAGTTTTATAAACGCCATTTTAGTTACGAGTTTTATTAGGCACGAGCGAAGCTTACGAGCGAGTGTCTAGAGAAGTTTATAAAACGATTTTAATTGTTAAACATTTGACATCTGTCAACTTTTAACGGATTTAACCTTACTTTTCTCTAATTTATAATAAACTTCAGCCCGTGACTAAAATTCCCAGAAGTCAACGCCATAAAGTCACAGCTCGTCAATGTAGGAGTAGATAATTAGTATATTATGTATCAAGTTTGATAAACGCCATTTTATACACGAATTTAATTTAGGCACGAGCGAGCTTGCGAGCGAGTGCTTAAATTAATGAGTGTATAGAAAAGTTTATAAACGAGGTGCATACTATACTTTTTCTACGACAAATACTTATTATTATCTTAAAATGATTTAAATCAAAAATTTGTATAGAGCGCCATCTATGAAACAATAGGGGAAACTGTGTGTCACCGTCAAATGTCAATTTTTTATATTTTATAAACACAATTATAAAGGTTATAAATCGAAATGTATTTCTTGAAAATTGACAGTTTTTCACAGTGAAAGTAAAGAAAATGTTTTATGAGCACTTTACAGTGGAGTCCGTGCCCGAATTTAAGTTAAAGTTTACTGCCGGCGAAATTAAAAGGTCAGTACAATGTTCATATAAACTTTTCAAATATTGGCGTTGAGAATCTATTTAATACTTTTGTATTGAGAAAATAAAATAATTTTCACATTTAGTATTATTTTACAAGAAAGGCAATTAATTTTAACAATTGTATGACATTTGACAACTCTCAACTAACTTTAGCCCGTGACTAAAAACCTTTGCTAACTTCAGCCCGTGATTAAAGCGCCATAAAGCCACAACTTGTCAATGTGTATTTAAAAGGTCACTTAGTGTCATGGAAACATGTACGATAAAGGGCGTTTTAAAGGTGGGAGTAGAAAAACATTTTAATATAAGTTTAAAGTAAGTCTTGACATTTTTAAACATGTTTTTTTTCATTTCAAATGATGTTTGTTTGCCAACCATAGGAAAATTTCCCTAATCTAGAGTAGTCAGGTACAGTGGCGGACACGGAATTTTGCACGACTATCATCCCGTTGACATCAAAAGCCAAACTAACCTTACTTTTGGTTATAACTAGTCTTGTTATTTTGACAGCGAAAGCAAAAATGGTCAATATTGTATCTTTGCTATTTACATATTTATACATGGACAACCAAATTATGACGTTTAAAATTCCGTGTCCGTCACAGTACCAATCAATTTCAGGAAGCCTTCCTGAATGCGTAATTTCGACAAGAAATTTATTAAAAACGAAAAAAAAATTAATACAATACCCTGATACTTTTTCGTTACTTGTTTGTTATTTTTACGAACTATAGTCAATAGTTATTTTCTACGATCACTATGTAAAAGTCACATTTCGTAATGGCATCGTTGCTTAAAAAATGAATCTTTTAATTGGCAAGGCAAAACACGAATGTAAAGTGACATTTATGTGTGAGAGAAATTGACAGCATCGTTTGACATTCGTTTTAAAATTTGTATTGTATTTATGTCTAAATATCATTTAGAACACAATTAATTGTGTGTTGTATAATAAATTCTAATTTGTAGTGCCTTTATTAAAATTGAGGAGGTAAGTTTATTGATTTTAAGTAACTTATAGGAACCTTAAAAATTAAAAGAATATGATGCAAGTAATTTTAACAGCTGTCAAATACGTTTTTAGGATATTTTGTTTTGTATTTGAGTATAATAAAAAATAAAAGGGTCGTAGAAAAAACATTGTGTGTCACTTGTGAGAAAAGCTTTTTTTAAGCTCGTGTCAATGCACAGCAACTTAAACACTCCCATGAAAAAGTCGTTTTTCAACACTAACTATCTATTTGTCAGAAAGTATTCTCAAAAAAATCTCAACATACAAAAATTCTGATCTAGGGAGAAGTTTTTACAACCCTTGGGATATCTCGAAAAAAAAATTGACAACGCTGTGTATAGACAGAAGGCGACGGACTTGTCTGCATTTTGATAAAAACATTGTCTTAAATCGTAAGTAAGTAATCAATGGTCAACATTCATTTAGGTAGCAAAGTGTATCATCACAACAGAACGGAACGACATGCAAATGACATGTTTATAAGCCGGATTTGGTAGCATTTAACTGTTTTTGGTGAGAACATTATCAGCGGTATTCACTATGCATATGACCTTGTAAATTTCTACAATTGTATATTTATGACATAATCGTTTTTAAAATTTCATTTCATCACGATAAGTAGTAAACATTTAGGTTTTAAGAGAATTAGTAGTTAAATAAAAAAAAATGTTAGGATTTAACATTTTATTCCGGGGAATGAACATTTCAGAAAATTTATAGCGTTTAAAAAGTTGCTTTTTAAAACCATACTTATATTATTCCAAACTTTAGTTAAAATACTTCAAAGGTTTCGATAAAAAACATAATTTATTTCAGTTTGTAGAAACTTATTCTAAAGAAAACTTAATAAATGGGAATTACCTATTAGGAGTTTTATAAAACAAAAAAAATAACTGTTTAATAGGTCCTTATTATCTGAATAATTATATTATCGATTTATTTTGTCATACGAATGGAAATTATTAACTAAAACCTAAGTTTATGGTCTAAGTGAAATGTTTAAATGGTATTTTAGTAAAGTATACCTACTACACTTAATAAATACATAGCGTGCTTAAATAATAATAGAGTAGGTAACAATGATTTTTATAAATAAAACAACGTTTTAATTTTAACTCTTGAAAAGTTGTTAATAGACTTTTTCGAATAAAATTAGAAAATCTATACTATGTTTACGTCGGTTTTACTTAATGAAGCGTTTGTTTGTGTACATCACAGATTTGAACCGATGATAAATAAATAAAAGGTAAATAAGGAACAAGCATTAAAAATATGACAATACTGAACTATAACTCCATCTGTTGTATTAGAGGAATAACTTCTGGTAAGCGTAAAGCAGTGTGCTGCTGCAGATTAAGCCTCATGGATGCATGCTGTAAGCTGGATGAAATTATAATAGTGGTTAATAATTATTTATCGCTAAGATTGTTATTTGAAGGAGGCTGGTAAACGGTGAGGGTTTTGTTTTGTTATTTTGGTTTTGATGTGTTGTCGGAGCGCGATAAGTGATACAACCAGTTTTGCTGTCGTTATTAACGCAGGAAAGGAAAGGAAAGGCAACTTTGCAACTTGGTTAAAGCAGAAGAATGCTGAATGTTTTTATTTAAGGGAATCGAGTTGGAGTGACGAAGTCTTATGGGATGTGGTTTTGGCGGGAAAAGTTTGAAAAAAAAATGTAAATAAAAGGTTCGCGCGCATGGGTCACAGGTCGTAGTTTTAAAAGATAGGTCCTGATTTATGAAGTTGTGATGATGATTGCTTAGTTAGTAATAAATATTACCATTTGTCGTTAAAGTTGAAATATTTGAATAGTTGACCTCTATTGGCCTTTTGCAGACTTAACGTCAATGTCAACACTTATACTGTGCCGGTGAAGGCCACTTAGCACGTTACAATTACTTGTGTTTAGTTTGGTGGCACAACCATGCTACACAATAAACGACAAACACATGGAAAAAACAGCAAATGTGGTGGAACTTACGCCAAATTTAGCGCTGCACAAATGTTTCAATTAGAAAAACATCGACGAAGGCTCGAAGAACCACTTGCGCGCATACATGACACTACTAGCCAAGTTACAAGTGCACTGTCCCCCCCGCTCCTCACCGCTGATAGCGCCCCCCTCCTCCTCCTCTCCTGCCCGCCCCAAACACAACGACGACGACTCGGCCTGCTTGCCTGCCCGCCCGCCTGCTTTGCTTTTGCTCGCGCTAAATCGCTTTTTCACGATGGGACAGAACCACCACTCACACTCTTACATTTTCTGCAATATCTATGATATTTGGCATTTCTCTTAACGAAATGGCAATTTATTGTAGGAAATTGGCAAAAATACCATAAAATGGTTCAATGATAATTTTTTCAAATAAAAAGGTTAATCATAACGTTGAAAAATTGAACCGCAATGTCAATAGTTTCATGCTGTAAGCAATCTGTGTCTAACGGTACCGGGTTCGATTCCCGGTCACAGCCTTGGGTGTTGTAGTTATTTATTAAAACAAAAAATTATAAAATATATAATGAGCTGGCTAAATAGTCTTAAAACGACTAAAAGTCAATAAAATAATATAAAAAAAAATTATAAATGAGTTTATATTGAATAAAAGTCCGCATATTTGTTTAACTGGTTTAACAGAAACCTACTGTTTAAAATATAGTAGGTGTATTGTGTATCAAGTTTTATAAATGCCATTTTAGTTACGAGTATAATTAGGCATGAGCGAAGCTTGCAAGCGAGTGTTTAATAAAAAACGAGTGTCTGGAAAAGTTTATAAAACGAGTCACATCCTATAATTTATCTACTATTTAGACAAAGAAGACTTTAAAGCGAATTTTATTTGTTAAATATACTAGGTTCATTCCAACCAGCAATAATTTCCAGTAATATTACTGATACACATGCGCGTTTGTAAAATGTCGTTCCAACCAACTAAAATTACTAGTTTAGAACTGGCAATTACTGTCAGTTCGTCGTTCCAACCAGAGTTACGAACAGTTAAATTACGGTTCAAACGATTCTTGCTCGAGAGCAAGAACTGTTGATAATAAAATTAGACGCATGCGTAGAAGGGGCACATAACCTCATCTTTTTGTTTATTTATTAACGTTTGTAATATTTTAAGTTTGTTTTCTGTGAAAGTGGACATATTATTTAAAAATTACTGCTATACAAGGTGATTTTATTAGTTTTTAATGTTTATACATCTAATTTTTGTCATTTGTGAGCAGGAATGGAAGAATTTATTATCAATGTGTGATGTTATTAAAATATACTTTTATATATATTTATAAACTCAACAAACCTGGGTTATATTTATTTCTAGTAGCAATGTCCCCAATAAAATCTAAATTCCTTGTCATCCGAAGAATCATACAAGTAATTATTTAAAAAACCTGCCATATTTATTACTTTATTGAAATAGATATACCTATATGCGCTTTACTTAGCTTTTAGCACAATACAATTGTGGGTTTTGGGTTATATTCTTTTTCTTCTGATTGTGAGTACTACCAGTTCAAAAAAGGTTCCAACCAGTTTATACATTATTCAAAATAATTTTACTATTTTTGTTCGCGCAGTCGCATTAACGCTGTTACGGACGATAATATTACGGTAATATTACTGCTGGTTGGAATGAACCTACTACATCTGTCAAATGTCAACGGTTTTAACCTCACTTTTTCCCAATTGATTATAAATCTATCTTTGGCCCGTCAATAAAATGCCCAAAAGCCACTGTTACTAACTTCAGCCCGTGACTAAAACGACATAAAGTCACAGCTCGTCAATGTGGGAGTAGATAAAAAACATTAAATCAGTAATATAGATATTTACTCGTGAAAGGTTATTCTACCAGTTGAAGGTTATTCCAGGCTCTTTATTCTCGTGAATATAACAAACCACCATTGTATTAAAAAAAAACTTGACGCCTTAAGTTAAATACCATATGGTTTAAAATTATCGTTTTAATACACAATTGTTAACACTCTTTTAATATGTCTATAGGCGATTTGCTATAGCAAGTTTTGCAAAATTTATGGGCAATGCTACCATGCCACAAAATAAAACAACTTAGGCCCAAAGTGTACCGTTGGTTTTAAAACCAAATTTTTAAAAAAAGGTTTATCATAGAAAAAATGTTGGTCCCAAAGTGTATTTGGTGTTGTTCTGACGTCAGCCTCTCCGCAACACATACGATCTGATACGAACTAGCCGTTGTATGGTTCGTTCCGTCCACTATCAGTTTTTCCTCTTTGCAAAAGCAACGACTTCTTTTTGCCAGCCGATCAATAAATCCGATTGATGATCAAACACGGCAGTCCGCAAGTTAATCAACTGTCCATCATCGGAAACGATTGTTTATTAATCAACAATTTCTCCTCTTACAGAATCAACAATACAACTGCTGCAAATGTTTCCGATGATGTCATTATGACATCACATCAAATTTAAATAACCTCGGGCACATTTTAGACCTTGATAGTTGGTGAGGACCTTTTCCATGGAGTTTAGACGTTTTCACTTACTCTTTCCTCCACTCCGATACACAATCGATTAAAAGATTTGACTTCTTGTAAATTCTCCGCACTCAACAAGTGTTCCGTTGCCCCCTTTTCTTTCCTACCAATAATTTGAGTTCCAATAACAATAATAATTAGACAGGCGTGTTTAAAGAGATATAGATACATTCTTTATTTATTTTCAACTTAATAAATAATAATTAACAAATTACTTCCAGTAATTGAAAAATACATTACTCACTTTATCTATAAAATATTTACACCACATCAAGTTTAATGAAGAAATTTAATTGCATTTAAATACGCTGCCCAAAAAAATGCACATTTCACAATAAATACGCGTATAGTTCAAGGTCATATTAATTTACATTTTCTCCTATTCAATATTTTCTTTGTAGTGGACATAAAATCATTTTATGGGCAATATATTATTATTCGTATGTATATTTGCGGTTTCGAACGTTATGAAATGACAAAAAATTAAATATGACCTTAAAAAAATCGCCGTGACCTTTAAAGATTAATGCTTGATTTTTGAAAAACCACAATTGCGATTTTCCAAAAATCACACTGGGCCTGAGTTATACAGAGTGGCTCAAAAGTAAACATCTTTTTTTTATTCAGGTACTTGGTACTGATAAAAATAAAGCATTAAAATAACGAAAATATGTTTTTGTGTTGAAAAAACCTTATTTTTGAGGCACCCTTAAAAAACATAATAAATGCAGATCATCAAGCCTTGTTTATGTAAATATGTTCATACATAACATATCCATCTTTCTGTTAACAATGCATTTTGGTAATTAATTGGTAAAACATAAAAATTATTAAAACTAAAACATATGTATGTATAAAGAATAAAAAGGGGTCAAAGTTTAATAAATTTAATTTTATATATTAAGTAGGTACATACTTAATAGTGATGTTGCTTAAATTGCATACTTAATAATTTAAGTACACTTACAGGGGCAGAGCCACACATTTTATTTAGGGGGTCACATAGCCCCACCCTACATAATTATCCAGTTATTTGTAAACTGTTTATAGGAACTTTTTATTTTCAGTATGTATTTTTTTCTTTTGGTGGTTATGACCTCCCCATTCTGCCCTTCTTTTGGCACCATTAAAAACCTTTATTTTACTCTAATGGAAGATCGTTTATTTTATTTAAAATACATACATACATATATAATAGTTTTCCTGAATATTTTTTGTGCATTTTGAACATTTATTCACTTTTATTAAACATAAACATTCATTTTATTGGGCCATTTCTTTGGGTTAATACAAAAAATACTGACCCCATATCTTTAATTATCAACTCAGTATTTTTTAATTTGTTATAACCCAAATTTCAAAACATTTTAATGTATGTGATTTTTTCAAATTAAATCAACTTCAAGGTTTTTTACTTATGTTATAATGACTAGAAACACTTTATTTAAAAATGACCCAACAAATTAATAAAATAGAGATTCACATTTATATAATACTTTTTGTGCTTATTTGTTGTACTAAGACTTAAAAATTACATTTAGTTTTGAGAAAATAATTCTTAAAGTAGTCGGACTGTTTTAAATAAGTAATTAGATGTAAATTTTAAAATTATATAAAAATTAGGTTTATTTAAAAATGTTAATAAGATAAAAAATATTTTGTAGGGTTGAAATTAACTGTACTTAAAACAGCCATACTACTTTAATTCTTTAAGTGATATGCTTACAATAAATTATAAATATATAAGTACATTAAAAAAATATGGAATGTTTAAATCACAATAAATTTTAACTACAATTGTCAGTAAAATATTTGGGCATATGTAGGGCCCAAGAACTTTTTAATAATAATTAAAAAGTGCAACTAAATTATACAAAAATATTTAATATTAATGGATCTAGTTTTATAGTAGTAATAGAATTTGTTTTTAATTGATTTTTTTTTCTAGGATATTTTTGATCACATCGATTAAATTAAATATGTTGTTTGGTTGTGTTTGTTGGTTTGGTCGCTCAGTCGTAAGATTTTGATGCCTCGTAGTCAGGAATGTTATTCAAGTCCGTATCTTTCCAGTAAAAATATGGCGGGCCCACTGTAGTGCAGTACTTCATGCTCAGCGGATTTCCATTTTCGACGTAATACATTAGGTAGAAGTTACACATCTCATCATTATTAGTGGCTCTAAAACATAAGTTTAAGAATAATGTAGATTCTTTTTAGTTAGTTAAAGTGTACTTACCCCACAATTGTGACTCGGTTTCGGTTCGCACTGTTCATAGTGCATCGGGCGGCCTAAAATAAAATATTTTGTTAAAATATTTTTTTTAATTAACGTAGTAACGTTTTTCTGTCTCCCAAACTTTCTTTGCGAAAATTTTTGATATTTGATAAAATTTGCTGTTTCTTCTGTTTGTTTTTAAATTTACTAAAACTGTACTGAACCTCTAAAAAGAACTATAACTTAATAAAAATTTAAAAATAAAAAAGGGGTTTAAATTACCTGTAGACATGACAACAGCGCGTTTTACGGTTGCAACCATAGAAAAAGGATGCAACTTTCTAGTGTTCATTTTCTACCTTACCTGTGTATAAACGATTTTTGATAAAATACTACTAAGTTCGTACAACTTTAAATTAATTTGAATAGATGGCGTTCGTAGCTGCGCTTCAAATTAAATGAAAAAACATAACCACAAATTCATTCAACTGTTTTAGCGAGAAATTAGTTTAAATAAATTATAAATAATTTTAGGTGGAACGAAGTTCACCAGGTCATCTAGTCATATACATAAATATATGATTCATAGGTTAACTCGCGGAAATTAAAACGAAACAATGACAACAAGAAATGAAGAAAGAAAATAGACATAATTTAAGTAACAGTGAAAATAATATTAAAATGAACTATGGACAATACTAATATAAAATAAATGATTCAAGGGATGAGTTATACTCAGATGCTCTTAATTGAGACCCTTGATCATATTAAGTTTTTTTAAAACGCTGTTGCTAGTGCACCGCGTGCGGTGTACTATTCTGCACCGCCAAATTATATATTACCTCATAAGCCCAAACCAACCCAAACTCAACAACACAACCCAACCGACCCCGCCCCATTAAACGCTCGGGGAACAAAAACGGATTATAATTATGACGTAATTGGCAGTGTAGAATAGTACACCGCGCGCGGTGTACTAGCAACAGCGTTTTTAAAAACGTAATGAGCTGTCCAAACAGCTTTTAAGTAAGCTAAAGGCCATTACCCCTGAACATAATACTTCTGTGTTCAGATTGATGAAGAAGAAGAAGAATGCAGTTCAGTTTTGTCTTTCGTGTGAGGTGCATCGCACTTTCATCTCTGGGACATCGCTCGATGAAAAAGTGTGAAACATAGCTGACTTTGACCCAGGAGAGACAAAAATGGATTCCGGGTATAGAAATATACCTATATTTTTGAACAATATCGCAAGCTTTGACCTTCTAGCGAGGTATTTTGTGATTTGTACAATATGTTTAGTGGATAATCCAAGATTTGGAAAATCCACGTGTCTCTGGGTGGATGGCTTCGTGAAGCGCATGGACAATAAAACTTGTCGCTGGTCAAAGTGGTTCATTGAAACCGAGACCATTAAGGCCTTTGGCCACCAAGGAAGAAGAAGAAGAAGACAACTTGGCGACTCTCCGCCATGTTGCCATATTTTTTACTCACCAATCGGTCTCCATACTTGATGGGTTCCTTGGTGAAAGTAGGGTAGAACATTTGGGGGGTCAGCGGGTTTCTCCTGCCCAAAAGCGACCAATGATCAGTACCGGTATCGTTACGTCTGACTCTGTAGCCGGACACAACGCGTCCCAAAGAGTGGGTATGAGTTCTGTAGGCGAACGGGTGAATTACTTTGTCCTCCCTTATTTCACAAAACGTTTCCATGTGCGTTATGTTGTGGGGGGGTATTTTACCGCCAGTGGCCAATAGTAGAACACCAGCCAGTTTACTTTGCCTGGAAAATGTTAACTCATACCAACTGTCTTACTGAGATAAATATGTATATTAGGGTGTCCCTTATTTTTATTTTTTTTACGCATACCCTCTAATTATATTTATTACGTGTTTATATACTCCCAGTAAAAATTTCAGCTCATTCTATAAACGGGAACCCGCGCCGACTTGCATCTGAACCCTCCGTTAGCCAACGATAGGCGCGCGGTATTTTGTAACTCGGTTGGCCGCGAGGTCTTCGATCGTAAGTCATTTTGTGTTTGTTATTATGTGACCCTTATATTATAAAATATTGACAAATGTTAAAATATAGTTTTATTTATGTGTATACTTTAATAAAAATGTATATTTTCACAGGGAGTGGCTAGTTACCCGGAAGGGTCTGGTGAATAGGTCGTAAACTCTGAAATTGATAAACTTAATGGGTTTTACTCTAAATAACTAAAAGAGTCTATTGTGAAAGATGACTACCGAAAACTTATTGAACTGTCTGAAATACTTTTGGGAGGACATCAAGAAAAGAAATGCTTATAAAAAGCTGAAATTTCATATAACAGTATATTTTAGCAATACTAATTATATTAATATATTTAAGGGATAAAATCAACTAAATTAGTGAAACAAATGATAGAAACAAAAGCAATAATATTAATTAGTAATCATATTTAATAAAATCATTAGAAAAATACAGTCATGAAGTATATCTTCTTTTTAAAGTGTTTCGTGTTACAAAATACCGCGCGCCTAACGTTGGCTAACGGAGGGTTCAGATGCAAGTCGGCACGGGTTCCCGTTTATAGAATGAGCTGAAATTTTTACTGGGAGTATATAAACAAGTAATAAATATAATTAGAGGGTATGCGTAAAAAAAATAAAAATAAGGGACACCCTAATGTATATGTAACTTACGGTCGTTCAGTGTAAAGGAGGTTTAAACCGGAGTTATCAAGGACATCATCTGGAAATTTTTTTGAATAATGTATTTGCAAAACAATGTATTGTACTTCAGTCCCTTGTCCGACTTGGAAACCTACATCATCTGGGAGTTTTAGGGTTTTGGCGTTTCTAGCCCAAGCATATAATACCTAAAAAACCACCTTTATATTTGAGTGATTTTTATTTTAAATTAGTCTTACGTGATTGCCTTTCGAGCATGGTGGTGCCGTCACTAAATTTTTATCAGACTCATTTGTTGACATTTCTCCACAATCCCTATTAATTAAGTCAAATGAAATGAAATGTTCTGATTAAAAAGACAAATGATAAATAAGTGATTGTTTATTTAAGACTTAGTTACCATATGGTAAATTATTTATAGGCAAAACAATGTTTATTTTAAATGTTGTATTTATATAAAAATAAAATTATAAATTAAAGGTGATAGAAAATGGAATACCTAAATGATGAAGTGATTAGTTTATTTACCAAATTTCGTTGGTAGAACCAGGCTCAGTACACCCAAAAACTAGCATATGATGAGCTACGTTCATTGTTGCATTAGGTTCAAAACCAACTAAAAACAAATTTAACAAATTTTATGTTTTTATGTTTCTTAAAAACAAAATCTCACCTATATAAAAGCTCTTATTGTCGACAACCCTCACGGGGGTACATATATATAATTCATCCTGAAATAATCCAAATTTAACAATAATTTATAAGTGCACTTAAGGTCGAAAAAAGTAACAATCTAATGTTAATTTTAAAGCAAATATAATGCTAAGGTAGTTAAAACAATATTGTTATTTTGTAACATAAACGTTAATGTTTTTAATACATACTCTGTAAGGGTGGATGTGGGGCATTAAAAGGGGATATTTCTTCACTTCTGAACAGCATGTCAATTGAAAACAAAGAATAAATATCGCACACAACAAACGCAACATATGGGCTCTCGCCATCGTTTCTGAAACAATCGATTTTGCTTATTTCCATCTTGACAGAACAACGTTGCCACAATTCATTTGTTGACACGTTATACAACTCATATCTATAAAAGATTAATAATAAAACTAAACGGATTCAAACAAATTTAATGTAAATAAAAGCATAACAAAATTCACTGTAATATATCAATGTTGTTGTTTCCTTATTAATTTATATTTCGTTTAAATGTGCACAATAAATGTTGAAACGGCAACAATGCTTTTATATGACGTCAAACCTCCCACATATTTTGTGGGGGCGAATATCCAATTGCATTTTAAACTGTTTGGAGAAAATCTTAATGAGTTTCTCAATAATATATTTTTGAAATATAAATATCCGCTACTTTTTTTTTAATTTTCATTGATCATGCAGGGTTGCCAGACTTTGAGAATCTCAAATTGAGATGCTCTAAGCGCATGTGCGACTTAAATTAAGTAAGTTTTTGACAGATGGTCAAGGGTTTGATAAATTGTAGAATAAAATAGATTTTAGTCAATTCAAATAATAATTTTGTTAAAATGAATATCCTGGACGACAATAATTTAACGACAGATGCCATGCCAAGTCCGCCAAGAGATGAAAATCAAGAAAATAATGAAAAACGTGAAAATAACGATAAACAAAGCGAGTCGAATGAATGTTTTGAAGAAGAACCCATTAAACAGAACAGAACTGGGCGGGATAATCCAAGAAATTGCAGTTCCAGTAAGATAAAAATATTATTAATTTTTAAATCCAAATTCTGTACACAAAATGTCCACTAAAAAATCCTTTGTTATGTTATGCACTGTAATTTTCTTCAACATCTCTCGACATTTTTTGTTAGTAATAACAAAGCTGCCTCATTTGAATTGTTTCCACCATAAACTTCTTTAAATGTGTAATATTTTTGCCAACCAAGGAGTTACTTAAAATATTCCACTTTTCTTTCCACAGAAAATGATCTCTATAGAAAGCAATAAACCAATCAGAGCACGACATACCTCACAGCACACTAGGTGCGATGGAAAATGCCGTGCTCTGATTGGTTTATTGCTTTTCATAGAGATCATTTTCTAAAGGAAGTAGACGCAAGTTTTTAAAACATACATGTTTAATATATGTACATTGTTTTCTAGATATAATGGTAAACATCAGTAACTCCAATCACGTGCATGTGGGATCAAATACAACAATAGTGTTAAATAAAAAAGAAGCCAAAAAAAAATATCAAATGACAGATTCTGTTAGAAGGTTAATGGAAAATAGGAAACCTGTTAGTAAAAGTGATATTTCATTTTTGGCGACGCATATTGGTGATGGTTGGAAAAATACTGCAAGAAATTTGGATTATTCTGAAGGACAAATAAACCAACTTTATATAGATAACCATTCACATGGTGTAAGAGAGGTACGTTAAAAAAATAGTAATTAATCCGAATGACTATCTGTTTTATTATTTATAGGTGATTTATCAATTTTTATTGGATTGGATACAAAACGAGCCAGAAAAGGCTACTGTATCTAAATTGGCGTTAACGCTTTGGGAAGCGGATGAAAAAGATGCTGTTAATAGGTGGTCAAAAGAATTGGTTTAGTATATTTTAAAATATTTTTATATATGAATTTTGTTTATACGCTTAATAATAAAACACAATGTTGGATAAAAAATGTATTTGTATTTTTTATAAATAAAAAGGACCTTAATAAATAAAGATATACCAAGGTACATCATACATAAATCTAAATATTAAACACTAAATAGTTTTATTCGAACTTTAGTAAAAATCAAATGCATTAAATGCTATGTAATATAATATTTGGTGATGAATTCAATTTAAAATAAATGGTGCAAATTATGCCCTAGCTGTCACAACCTCCTTATTAAATATATGAGATTCACATTTTTCATATTCATTGGCAATATTCGATCTATCCAAATTTGCATTTAAAATGATGACTGGTGCAGGGCAGTGGTGCAGAGTTTTATAATAAAGCCAGTCTTCATGTATTTTATGCAGAGATTTGAGATATTCGAGGGGCACAGATTTTTCTTCAGCCCTATTTCTTTTCATCATTCTTTCATAAACAACTTCCGGCGTTGTTCGTAGATAAACGACCAAATCCACATCGAGATTTTTATTCGAAGTCACCCAGTTAAACCAAGCATTTATCACTGATTCACTTGGACCTGATAGAACTTTGTCTCTCTTCAATTGTTCCACAAAACAATACCTGCAGTTATCAAATTAATTAGTTGTATTGTATTGTATATGTGTTGGATAGCTTACCTCGCACTGTAAATTGATCTTTCCATCAATTTTATAGGTAAATCAGTTTCTTTGGTATGTTGCTGTAACATTGTTAGTTGGACATAGGATTGGAATGTAAAACTCCATCTTTTTGGGTCCTCATACATTGCCCCCTTCATTAGAAAAAATATTATAGGTATAAAATAAGTTTTCAGTGGAGTGACATGTCAAATTTAATACATGTATTTCCTTATACATTTAATCACCAATTTTATAAATTTAAATGTTTCAGAAACTGTACAGTAGTAGTTACAATTTCTGGCGGGGTTTTTAATTTTACATTCGCTATCGCACATTTTTACTAATTTTAACAAAAAATTCAAAGTTTAAAAATGTACTATGTTATCAGTAACTTGTCAAAATAGATAGGTGAATATTAGATCTGTCAGATGATCAAGGCAATTTAATTCACTGAAGTTTATCAACAAATTTCAAATTTTATTAAAAAAATTCAAGTATTACAGATTTTATACCATTTCTATTTTTTTAAAATTTAGTAAAAGAAATAATAAAAATGTAAAATGGTATAAAACCTGTAATTCTTGAAGTTTTTTAATAAAATTTGTAATTTGTTGATAAACTTCAGTGTATTAATTATTGTACCACTTTAATTTAAATTATCTTAATTTGGGGGGGCAGGAGGCTGGGGGGCACACTTAAAAACTAACTTTTTTTTTCGCAAACTTCAATTCAAATTCTGCTTGAGCAGAACTTGTCTATTTAATGTCATTATAAACTAATATAAATTTGATGTGAGTCCCATGTCCAATAACTGAGATATGGGTGTGCCCAAAATCCACCAGCCACCACTGGTATAAAGGTAGGGTTGCCAACTTTTATTTTGGGATTTTCTGGGCAAGGTGATTAAAAATTCTGGACACCGGTACAAAATTATGGACATATTTTATTTGAAATTTTTTTAACTTGGTAAAACAAATAGGTAACTATTTTTTTTATGTTCGTTCCCCATTTGGTGTTTTTTTAAATCGCCTTTGCCACCGGAAACCCACTTGAAATGTTTTTTTACAAATTTTGCAAAATCCTCTCGATAAACCAGTGGAAGAACTGCCGTCTTCTGTTACCCATGGAAATTCTGCTTCCCATTCTTTTCTATACTTGCACAGACGCCAGGGTTGCCAACTGTAGTAAATAACAAAACCGTACCGGCGGCTAAAAAATGACCGTACTTTTCAAAACAGGACCGTACTTTCGCATTTTCACATATGACGTCAGCAAAACAAGCATAATTTTTAAAATATTTAATTTTGTAAAATTTGTTCACAAAACCATAAATAATATTTATTAAATATATAGATAAAATAAAAAATGTATTGAATGTATGAATTATAATTCATAATTATCATAATTTATAATAATAATTATTATGATGATTAGGAATTGAAATTGTGATTTTGAAAATTCAAAATCACAACTATTGTGATTTTAAAATTTTCAAAATCACAATTCCAATTCATAATTATATAATCTTCTACTGGTCACAACCATGCTTGGTAATCTGGATTTTTAAGCCATTCCTGCCGAAATTTCTATATCAAATCAACAAACGTTTATAAAAATATTTATAAATATTTAGTCCAAACCTATTTACCTGTTTCTTATGCCCGGATTTTTTTTGCTAGGACAAACCTTGCTAGTAGTACTATCATCACTATCACTGGACATGTTTCAATCGGTTTTTAATAACAAATTATAACTTTACTTCAGAAATAAACGAACGCTGGGAATACCGCGAAACAAGTTTGATATGAGTTTAACACTAGCGGCAGTTATTAGAAACTGGGAAGAAAGAAGTTATAATTTACAGAACACTACTATATGTAGATTAAAATTTAGCGCCATCTCTAGGGCATTTAATCATTAAATGCCCTAGAGATGGCGCTACAGTCAGACAAAATCATAATATTTTTAAATCGCTTTAATTAAATAAAATTATGGAAAATTTAATAGTTTCTGTTTTGATATTTTTTCCCTGAAAATACCGTACTTTTGGGGTACGGTCCTTAGGTTGGACCGTAAACCGTAATTTAAATCAAAATACCGTAAAAGTACGGTCAGGACCGTACCATTGGCAACCCTGACAGACGCCTAATTTTTTTTGTTTCTGGATTTGACAAGGATGACGAGACAAGGATGACGAGAATGACATAGTGACTAAGTAGGTACTGTCCTATTTTATTCTAAAATTATATCAAACAATATAAAACGTTCTAATAAATTATACAAAAAATAGTCTTACCTTTTAAGAAAACTAAATAGGTCAGCAGCAGCAGTTCCGCAGTATTCCGCACGTTAATTGTCACAATCAAACGATTAATTAAACAAATCGATAATTATCTTATGACAACAGTCGTAAGTTACTTATAAGACAGGACTGGATTATTCTCGATAAGTGCTGTCTTTCTCGCTCCTGCCTTATGTGTAAGAAAGGAGTGTGAGTGAGAAAGAAAAGAAGCATGGTTTCAGCCTTTCACGCAACGCCTACGAAAAAAGTCGAGCGCGCACGAGGCAGGCACGAATATTTAAATTCTGGCGGCACGAGGCATGGCTGGTACAACGTTGTCGGATTGTGGAAAAAATCCTTCGAAAAAATTGAAAAATGTGCCAACGTGAAAATTATGAACATTTTACGTCCAGCCAAAGGTATTGACTGGACGCTGGACAAATGAGCCGAAAAGGTGGACGTCCACCCAAATTCTGGACAGTTGGCAACCCTATATAAAGGTCCTAATTTAGAACACAAAAAAATACATACCCCTTTGGAAAAGAATGCCTGTTTCTTTTTACCAAATAGTGTAAAGAAATGATAAGCAAATTATTAAAGCTGACTAATGACTATGTTCTATATTTAAATTTTATTCCATGCTTAATTATTATTAGTTTTTTATCATAAAACAAACATTTTTTCCCGCCAAATTTTTTATGCAGTTGTAAAATATGTATATAAATATTAATCTCGATTTGCATTATTTTTAAACATAAAAATAGCTTACCAAAAGATTGTAACCATCGCAATCCCGCCACATCTCCACTGGTTCAGCCAAAACACAAACATCTTTATTTCTGTTAAAATAATTCAAAAACGTAGTTTTTCCACTTCCAATATTTCCTTCAACGATTACAGTGTACGGCCGTGTCCTGCCTTCCTTCAGAAAATTTGCCATTTTCAATATTCTTTTAGCTTTAAACAGATAAAATCAAATAAGACACACCACAAACAAGTAGACAAACACAAGATTAACCGCCAAATTATTTTGTTGGTGGCATTGGCAGTGTGACCAACTAAGTTTCAACTCAGTTACTAAACAAAAGATATGTATGCAACCAACATAACACTAATAATAAAATCATGTTATTTATTTTATTATAATAACATAACGTAAAATATTATATTATTATTATATGTTAACACTATTTTATAATACTTTGTAACAAAATCTACCACAATACGACGTTTCAAAAAATATATACATAACGTAAAAAATCAATAAAAAATATAAATATACAGCTAAATTCAAAGTTAAATAACATACTCACCTATATTTCTCATTTTAACTTTAACATTTGTTCACAATTGCAATGTGGATTTTATTTTTCAGTTTATAATTTTAAGGTTAGATTTGTATTCAAGCAAATACAAAGGAAATATATAAATGATACACCACTACACTATAAGAAATGCAATTACACTGTTGTTTTTAACTAAAATATTAATAATTACTGGACAAATAAAGTGTTTTCATGGAAAATTATAATTTTTGTAATGTGTTGAAACGATTCGAAATTATTTATCTTCTGCGCATGTCAACAAAACAGGAGACGTTTTATGAATTCTGTAGAAAATTACCTATATAGAAAGAAATAAACCAATCGAAGCATGGCATAATCCACAGCACACTAGGTGCAAAGGAGACCTATAATCAAAATGTGGATTTTAATGTAAAATTGTTTTAGATCAAGCTTTAAAAATACTTACTGAAAATTTCAACTTTAAAGAAAATAATCTGTCTCTAAAATATATAGAAGCAAAATCTTTTTAGAATAAAATATAGTGTTTTAGAGTTGTAGGAAGATATACCTTAACTAAATTCATATTTGATAATAAAACTATTTTAATTTTAATAATAAGTTTATTTAATTAAAATATAATTATACATTTAATATTGTTAAAAACGTTCTTACATTCAGTATATACAAGGTTTTCTAAAAATTGTGTATTATTACATGCTAAGTGGGTTTAATAAAGAATAAAAATAATACAAAAATAACGTGCACTATTTTCAGGTTTAAAAATTAAGGTACATTAACAAAACAGTGCCTCTGTTTTGTTAAGGCACGTTTTATATTTTAACACTTGTTAATAATCATCATCATCATCAAATTCATCGTGAATTGTTGTTTCATCTTGAATTGTGGGCATAAGGGTGTACCTTGGGGGTTTCCTCCAAACGGCACTCGATGTTCTTTTTAACTTGTGCGACTCCATAGTGCCAAAAATGTCCTGCAGATCCGGGGTTATGGCTTGCCGACAAAAGAACGTGTTCTTGCACGCTTCGCCGACAATATGCATTACTATCTGAGATTCTTTAATATTTTGATCTAAAACAATTAAGTTCCAGATTTAAAGGTCTTTTTCAGTTCTATTGGTCTTGAAATGATCTCTATAGAAAGCAATAAACCAATTAGGGTGTGGATTCTCCACAGCACACTGGGTGCAATGTAGAATGCCATATTTTGATTGGTTTATTTATCTCATCCTAGAGATCATTTTTGATGGAAAGAAAAGTCGCCAATTCCAAGAAACATCGCCTTTTTAACCATACTTACACGAGCACCAAGAGATTTGGATTTTTTTCTTGCTCCTCTCATCATCGGAATCGTAGCAATCCTCGGTGGGTAGTAATGGCGCAGGTGTAGTCATGTATTTGGGCAAATTTAGTTTTGCCTTTGCTTTTTGTTCCAACAATTGGGCCTTACGTTTTTCTTCGGCGCGAAGCGCTTCTTCTTTCTCCTTTGCCTGTTTTATGGCTACAGCTTTTTCTTTGGCTTGCAATCGCTTGCGCTCATGCTCCTCCTTCATCTTGTTTATTTTCTCTTCCTTCTCGGCCTTCACCTGTTTGGTTCTTTCCTCCTTTAACCTAAAAGAAGAAACATTTACTTTATGCAGGAGATAGTTAAGTATGCTTCTTACCTTTGCTGTTCCATGAAACGTTGTTTTTCCCTTTCTTTATTTTCTTGCGCCTTAATCTGCGCTTCTTCGCGTTTCTTGCGCAATTCTTCCTTTTTCTTTAACGCTTCTGCCTCCCTTCTTTTTCTTTCCCTATACTCGGCTTGGGTTGCCTTCACTTCACTAACAGTTTTACCTGTAATTTTATATTATAACAACAATGATCTAAAAGTGAAATAAGACATACCTGAGAGAATGCTCTCATTTCCTGACATTCCAGATACACCCTTGTTTATTTTGGTAGTACTGCACACTTTCGGCACAAATTTTGAGGCTGTTGGTGTATAGGTTTTGGATGCTTCCTTAACTGCTCCAGGTACAACTCTAGAAGTGGTTGTTGGTGTATACAATCTGGATGTTTCCTTAACTGATCCAGATTTCAGTCCACTTACATCGCGTTTTCCTTTAAATTTGTTTGATACAGGAATGCCACTGCTTTCTCCAAGTTTCTCAAACGCTTCCACTTTTTTCTTCACTGGGCTGGGCTCGAATGGATTGAAAATCGTCTTAACGTCCCCGGAACTTTTCTTTTTGCTCTTTGGTTTCGCTTTTGGTCGCTTTTTAATTTCTATATCGGAATCGTCGTCAGTCATCAGGTCGTCCTGTTGCCCAGCTGCGTTTTGAATGACCTAAAACAAAATTTGATGTATTATTTTTATTATATGTCCTTTTCATTTGGTTATCGTTAAATATAGGTAACTACAGCCCAGGAGAGACAAAGTATTCCTAGCGGATAGTAATCTTTGCTTTGAAAAGAATTTATATAAAAGAAATTGAAATTTTATTTGAACACACGTAAATGTTGTCTAATCATTGGACTCCAAAGGTGAAGGGGATTTTGTTAAAGCCACTGGACGTTAATACTTGTAGTGGCTAAATAATAATTATAATGTATATATTCTTTCTTCCCATTTGTTTTTTAATTTCCCCCTTATTTTTAAAATTTCAAAAATTTTTGTTTTGCTTAGTTGAAATTAATGTGTGATTTAATATTTGTTAAACCAAAAACATTACTTTTTTACATAATGTCCATAAGGCATTGGCATAACCTCATTGAAATGAAGATTTGCCCTTAAAAGTTATTTTACTTTAGAATCTGATATTATTTTTGGCATAGTTATCTTTTTATATCGATATTATATATCAATTAACAAGTAAATTATCAATAATAAATATTACTGTCAATTTGACAGTGTCAGAGTATTTAATTAAGGTCTTCAGCAGAAGTACAATTTTTTAAATACTAAAAATACTAAATCAAACTGGCATAAGCTACCAACTTAATAAAAAAACAAGATTCTAAATTAAAAAAAAATGAAATGTAGTGTGCTGTGGAAGCTGCCGTGCTCTGACTGGTTTATTGCTTTCCATAGAAATCATTTTCTATGGAAAGTAATGTCAGAAAAGTCAAGAAACACTCCCTGGCCAATTGGAAAATATCTCCAAACTAAAGCAAACTTACTGAAGGATTAGGAATGACCACAGTTGTGTTGATATTATTACTGGGTGTGTTAGTCTTGTTTGCATTGTCCGTGCTGGCTACATATGTGGAATTAGTATCCACAGTGTTATTGGTGGCCACATATGTGGCATTTGTGTTGTTTTCCACTGTGGAAACAGCATCCTCATATTCTGTCTGGATTGAAGTGTTACTTAAAGGCGATTGTATTATTTCTTCTCTTGTAGATGAAGTGGATCTGGATTTCTTTATTTCTTGATTACCTTCTTCTGCTGGGTCACGTTCCCGTTTGCAATTTTGTTGTGCTCTGGTTTTGGTTCTTGTTGATCTGGTGCTTGTTTCTGATTGTTTCGAATTAGCGGCTGCTTTGGTTTTAGTTCTGGTTTTTCTTCCTGCTTTAGTCTTTGAACTTTCTAAATCTGATTCGTCTTCAGTTATATCAACTACAGGCACTGGTGTATTTTCCATGATGACATCAGAATCCTTTCTAACTGGTTCTTTTTTAATCTTAATAGTCTGAAAAATACATAAGTAGGATATATTTTTTATACAAGCAATGTACAAATACAATCTTACCTCCATAACTTTTTTGGCTTTACTTCTAGTACTTCTAGTCACAGGCTGCTCTGGGGGTTCAGTTTTAATTTTTTTCTTTCTTGGAGCTGGTAGGGTTGGTGCCGGCATATCTTCCTTTTCCTTTTTGATTTTTACCATTGCTATTTCATTGCTTGCTGTTGAACTTTCACGTGTTTCAGATTCTTTGACTATTTTATTTTTTTTCACGTCGAATAAATCTGCAGTTTTAACTTGAAGAGGTGTATGACGTGATTGTCTGCCACTTGTTTTCTTCTCGACTTGCTCATTCTGTGGTTCATTTTCTTTTTCTTAAAAATATTTATTTATTTTTACTGCATGTTTTAAAGATTATTCTAGTTATTGTTTTAGTATTATATTTTCAATGAAAACTTACCCCTTCTATTAGTTTCACTTAAAGGTACATATTTGCCTGTTCCAACTTGAGATTGTATATGTTTGCAATCTTTAAGAAAGTCCTGAAAACAATACATTACTTAAATTCCAATCATAAATAAGTTATAATTCAAAATAAACCAACTTTAAAAAGCTTACCTCAATCTCATTTGAAATAATTTGAGATGATTCTTTAAGCTCCTCATTAATGGCTGTAAACGTTTGAAAATTGAAGTCCTCTAAAAAAGCATTCAAACTAAACATTTTTCACACTGTATTGCAAACAAAAAATGATGCTTGTAGAAGTGACTTTTTAACGGCAAATGCAAACTGTCAAAATTTTAAACTGATCGGACTTACCAACTTACTAAGTGCGTACCAACCGTAATTTGTCGAACCAACAAATTTAAATAGGCTGTGCAAGTTGTATACAACTATACCACTATAGTGGTAGCCTACTAAAAGTAAATTAAAAATAAATAATAATGACTCGCAATACATGCATGATAATTAATGAAACCTTATAATAGTTTAGCCTGATTTATAGATTGCCTTCCTTCCTTCCTCCCGTAAAAGATGATTAATACGAAAATCGTAGCCATTTATAGATTCCCGTACGGGAATCTCTAAACAGCACAACGGTTTTTGTATTTTTCAACTTCTACGGGAGGAAGGAAGGAAGGCAATCTATAAATTATGTCACTTTCGGCACATTTTAGTACGCCTGTGTGGAAAATGCGTTACGCAACCAAAGGTGTTCTTTGATTACACGCGAAAACTTGTTTTTTTATACCTAAAATCCCCTACACTGTAGGGGATATTAGGGCCTACAGCGTGGCAGCGCCATTTTTGGGACGCCCTGTATAGCCAGAATTTTACTGCGAGTTTTTTTTTTATAAAAGTGGTAAAAATAGCCAAGACAATAATTTAAAAGATAGACAGAATGCGAATTAACATTTAATTTAACGATATATTTTGTGACTGAGTGTATACAGACCCAGACTGAGCCACAAAATCATGAAATTTTTTTAAAATTTTATCTCTGAAACCAATAAACCTAAAGTCTATTCAAATCCAAGCTGGACTAAATGTAAACACAATCCTCCGAATCGACCAATAAAAACTCAAAATCCGAGTCACAGCAGATGTCAGACAGTTTTAACCTCATTTCGATGGCACCATACAAAAGGCGCACTGTTTTTTTCTGATTTATTTGAACTTAACCCGTAAACTGTTTTTCCTTAATTATTTGATAGATTTAATTAATAATTTCTATTGTTCAAAATTAAAAATATAAAATTAATTCAAAACCATTAATTTACCTGTAATACTTGTAAATGGATTTTTTATGTTCTTAAGGAATAAGGAATAAAATTCGGAAATACTTCTACATACATAGTTTATTTATTTAAATAAGGTTACAATAAGAATATTACTCCAAAATTTTGAATATGGTTCTTTTAATGTAATTGGAGTATTTAACAGAAACACACTGCATATTATTTATAAATATCACCTTGAATGCTGAACATACATACTTATCTGCCAAAATAAAGTACAAAATATAATTTTGTATAAAAATATTTGTATAAAGTAATTAAGCAAATATCGTTATAAAAATGCAATCTTTCTATAAAATAAAAAAGTAATTGGAGAAACTAAGTTATCAGTCATAATTAATAAATATTATGGTAAATTTTGTCCAAATAGTGATTAGCATGCTTAGTGAAATAAAGTTTGTAAGGAAGAAACATGCATCCCTACATTAGTATGGAGAAAAAAATAAAAACTATATGGACCCGAAACCAGCTTTAGCAAAACCTTCGGCCCATGCTAATTTAACTTAAACTCTAGCTAATCCAAGATATGGATAAAAAAATTTGTATGCTTAATAATTAGTAGTTACATCATAGGTACTTAAAATAAACTTGGCTCAATCGTCCATCTGTTCGTCTTTGGCTGGCGAGCGACTGCGCGACTTGCTTCTATCCTTCGAACCCGCCGACCTCGAGCGCGACCTCTGCTTCACATTGTTCTCCTTCGAGTGCGATCGGGATCTCGAACGCGACTTCGACGCTCCTTTCGATTTCGATCTCGAGCGCGACTTCGAGTGCGCCGGACTCTTGCTCTTCGAATGCTCCCGCGACTTTGAGCGCCTCGAGCTGTGCGAACGACTCCTCGAGTGGCTACTCCGCCTAAATTAAATTAAACGACTTTAGAAAAGCACTCACGCAAATGAACAAATCAAAAGAACCTCGATTAAATCAGTAAAAAAAGTTATCAGTCACTGTACTTCAGCCCCGAAAGATGGTAAAAGCATCACACTAAATGTATCACCGTCAAAACTGTGCTTTAAGACAATGGGGTAGTTAAATTTTTTCTGACCTATACTTTTTATGGTTTTATTCAAGGCGTTTTGTAATTTTAAACATTTATGTGAAATCGGAATTTCAATTGAGTTTACCGTTTTCGAGATATTTACAAAAAAAAATCTCCTAATTACGTCACTAGGCTATTGACAACGTTGCCAGCTTTTTCTATGGTTGCCAGTGTGTTTAGTTTAAGATTCTTACGATAGATGGTGCCATGTTATAATATTTTAGTTTTAAAATCACTTGATCTATAATTTTAGTTGAGAAGAAATTTAGATTATTGAAAATCAATGTTATTGTTATGTTATTTGTAATTGATATTAGATTTATTAATTACGGACTCCAAAGCAGAGGAATCTTGTGGAATGGTTGGTTACATTGAACATTGGAGCTTTTAAACAAATAAAGTAATTACCTATAATTATAATCATATTTTGTCGTAAATGCATTTCATTAGTATAAAGTTCTTTATATTCTTTTAGATATATCTTGGACTCTAAAATATCAAACAGTAATATGATACCTCGTAATAAGGAAGATAGGTACTTGGTGACCATCTGTTTGAATAATTTTAATCAAAATGTCTATTTGTAGACCCTGCACTACCTTTACCTACTATGTACGTTATTGCAGCAATATTTAAACCAGAATTGTCAAAAAGTACAAAAATGTACTCTAGAGCGTAGTATCTTCAAACAGTCCAAAAGTTTGTCATACATTTTTTTAATCTTACAAAAGGTTTTGATGCTCATCAGGGATGCAAGTTTTATAAAAACTATACACAAATATCATAAATACCATTGCTAACTTACATTTACTGTTATTCTTTGTTAATTTATTTCATTCATTTTCAGCTTTATTTTGCCACTTTTTTGTATGAAATATATTAAACTCTGCTTTAGACAGTTATTAGGTACCTATTTATTACATTTTATTAGGTTTCACACGGTGTTTCAATGTGTAAACCTATCAATAAAACTTTTAATTTCAGAATTTTCTTTAACCTCCTCTTCTTCTTTCACTCAACTGACAGTGACAGTATTTGTACATAACCTCTTCGGGTATTTTCTGACATAACCGAATGAAATCATTAACAAGACAACTTGACAACAGGGTAATTTTCAACCAATAGAAATCTTAGAATGTTGGTCACATGGCGAGATTTGTGACGTCATAAAAATTTATATTTTTTGTAAATATCTCGAAAACGGTAAACTCAATTTAAATTCTGATTTCACAGAAATGTTTAATATTACAAAACGCCTTGAATAAAACCATAAAAAGTATAGGTCAGAAAAAATTTAACTACCCTATTTATTAAAAGCACAATTTCGCAAGTGTTTCCAAAAGAAGACCATTTTAAGCGTGGATTTCTTTACCTGGACTTGGAGCGAGATCGGGATCTGTGCCTGGATCTGGATCGGCTTCGGCTGCTCGAAGACCTCGATCGTCTAGCTCCTCCGCCGCCTGCTCCACTGCGTTTTTTGTCTTCGTGCAAATGAATGTGACGTCCGTTTAAATCTGTGTCGTCCAATTTTTCGATTGCGTTCTTCATGTCGGAATAAGAAGCAAACTCGACCACCCTGTAAAAATGTTGCGTTGCTTCAGAAATGTTTTATCCGGTTGATGGTTTAGATTGTGTGATTTGGTGTGTCAGTGAATAAAAGGGTATCAGTCATTTAACTTCAGACCCGAAAGATGGTAAAAGCATCATGTGGAATTTTGTTTGTTTTATTTTAAATTCTTAATTTGTTTGCAAAACTCACCCTTCGTTTCTCCTTTGCTTGTGGGCATCAGCATAGGTAACTTCTCCAGCTTGCCGCATATAGTCTTTAAGATCCTAATGCAGAAAAAGGGAAAATGAGTAAATTGCCGGTAAAGTTGGTCCCAAAAAAGTCAAAAATCAAATTACCTGACATCGACAAAGGTAAAATCCGAACTTAAAAATAAAAATCTGAATAAACCTAAACGATAGACTTTCTTTAAAATAGATTTTTTTCTAGGTGTGAACTTTTTGATTACAGTTTGATGTCGTGTTGATGAAATGGGTGCAGAGATTTTGGTGGGGTGGTTATCTCTGCAACCAAATCCATTGAAAATAATTTTATACTTTTTATATAAAGCATACAAAATGTAATCAAAATACGAAACAGCAAACAACAAAATTGTGAAATATATATTAAATTTTTTGACAGAGATCGCGTTATGCTAGGGCATTACCTGAGGCATTGTGCACGAAAACCAGAACAGTACCAATGGAACGGCGGATTAACACAGACTGACTGCCACTCGATTGCATGGGTGTACCACATTGATTGAGCATTTGAGCCTAGATACCTCACACTCCAAGGGAATGGGTGCTTATTACAAAAAAGTACTTTTTATTTTTACATATTATCAATCAATAGTTTTAGTTTTGTTGGGAAATGTAAAACAGAAAACAAGTTCGGGATCGGTTAATAAGGGATGGGAATGTCTTCTGAATCCAGGAGTTGATAGTTTTGGTTGTGGTTGGCTGGCTTACGATATCGAGCGCCGAAGTAGTGGGGACAGGATAGTCGCTTGCCTCGCTTATGGATGTGGATGCGGATAACGCTCAAAATGTGGATACACTGGCCCCTGTCTCGGTTTTGGTACTCTGGCCGGATGCCCCCTTAACGTGTGTGTGTTGATATCTCCGCCCTTCTCAACGACTCAACTGACTCATCGTCTCATTCATTCATTGACTGATTGATTCAATTGATTTCGATCTAATCCCCATTTGGTTTTTTTCACTTTTTAGATTGATATGAAAGGATACTAACATTGGGAATTTTTAAAACAAAACAGGACCCTCATCTATCAATTTTTATTAAGCATGCAATTCTTTTATTTTAACCACTACACTCTGTACTATACTTTTCCACTTAGTCCACTCTAATAGTGTTTCACGACTTTAGATAGGGGTGTGATTTTTTAAATTTCTGACTTTCTGTGGAAAGCAACAACCCAATCAGAGCACAGCATGCTAGGAGCGATTGATAATGCCGCACTGTGATTGGTTTATTGCTTTCTATAGAGATTATTTTCTATGGAAAGTAAACCGCAAAATCTTAGGAAAGACCCTTTGATGGAGTTATATTTTTACAAATCTAAAACAATTAGGCTGGACTAATAATGATACCTTGAATTTAACTCCAATCGCACATTTCAAAATAACATTGGAATAAGCATAAACAGATACTAAAAATTAGGTCCAGAGCCTTTTTAAAATGATGACTAATGATTTCAAGAGAGAAAAAAAAACACTAATAAGGGACTTACCTGCCAGCTTACACGACTGGACAAATTTTCTACAATAAGACGGTGTTCTGTTCTTGTTGGAGGACCATACCTAAAAAATAACAAAAATTTTGGATTTTGCACGAAAATCATTCAAATATCTGTTTTTATTTCGAGGAATATCAGCAAAAAAAAGTATCAGTCATGTGACTTCAGCCCCGAAAGATGGAAAAAACATCATTTTAAACAAAAATAAGTACAGGAGGTAATATGGAACCCCTAATTTATTTAGGGGATCCACATGACCATGTGGCGCGATCGGAAAAAAGGACAATCAAATTTTGAAGTGTAGTAAAATTAATAGCAATGCCAATTTTTAGGATGAATAAGTTCTATAGACGCACAAGATTGTCTCAAATCGCGGCACATTTTATGAAATAAACAAAACATATCTCACCTGTCATGTGACCGCATATCTGACTCACGGCTGCAAATAGAGAAAAATTAGTTTTGGTACAATTACAGTTGACATTTTTTGGCATACTTATCACGACTGCGTCCCCTTGGGGGGCCATGGCTTCTGCCCCCACCATTGCCTCTCCATTGGTCACTACCTCTTGGTGTACCACGGGCCCTTTCGACAGAAACTCTAAAAACAAACAATAATTATGTCTTCGACATTTTTATATTCATTTTACCTTTCGCCAAGCAATTCTTTGCCATTTAGTTCGTAGACAGCATCATCTGCGTCTCTATAGTCATCGAACTCCTGTAAAAAAAACACATATAACAATGTTAAGGGTCGAGTTCAAGTTAGGTGTACGTACCACAAAAGCAAAGCCATTCTTCATTGCGACCTCCTTTATTCTGCCGTATTTGCGGAAAAACTTTTCAATGTCCCTTTCTCTTACCCTATAGGTAAGCCCCCCCACAAACACTCTAGTGCCCATCTGAAGAAACGAATAAACATAAATTAGTTAACCAAAAATATAAAACAATTTAAATTTAAATTTTTTGTATCAACTATACGGGATTTTACGAAGTTGTTTTGGGCTTTTTGCAGACTTTTTACGCGCCATGTTATTAACCAACGAAAATAGTGTTTGCTCTATTTAGTATGAATTATATGATGACTCATACAAACATGTGGAATAGAGTATTATAATATAAGGCCTCTTTAGACGCTCAAATATTAATTAAGATAAATATTCAAGTAACACAGAGGCCAAAAATTAACAATTTATAAATATATTCGAAAAAATCACATTATTTTAATAAAAAAAAAATCTGATTTTGTAAAAACCGCGAAAACGCACTTCCGGTCAATGGACCAATGGGGATGAAAATGAAACCGTTAAAACAATAGATGTGATTAGTAAGATTCGCGGGTTTCTTTAGCAACGCCATATTTGCTAAGTGTATTGAATTGCAAAATAAATAGTTTAAAATGGTCTCTGTTGATAAAAATTGTGTTTACGACGATGCAGTCATCGTTATAGATGACGATGAAGAAGAATGCATTGTAATCGACGATGACGATGAAGATGTGGTTGAAGTTGTTGAAATAAATGGAAACCCAGCTAACGTTGAAAATGAATTTATTCAGGTGGATAACCATGTACACGAGGCGGGTATTTTTATTGAAAGCGATGAAAGTGGTAATATACTGTATAATTTGGTAAAATTAGTTTATCACAATTATTTTACAGTTTCAGACTTGTTTGGGGATATTAGTGATATTGAGTCTATTGATGATGCCTGTATGTACCGTATCACTTTATAATTAGATACATTAAATAATCACATTTATTAATTCCTTAGTTTACGAATCACCATCAGAGGCATCAGATATAAATCCCTCCAACTACGAATTACAATACTATGAAATTCTTGACTTGAATGGACAACCAATAATCAATGTAGGAGAAATTCATAACATCAAACAGGAACCAGAGAGTGGTATGTAACAATTTACTTTACGAATTAAAATTTTGATACCATTTTGTTCATGTAGATCCTGAGGACAACACCTTTTCCAATCTGCTAATTGAAATCGAAACCTCTGATGAGGAGGAACAAGGTAGACACCAATGTACTCTTTTTAAATTGGTTATTCATAATCAAAATTAATTTACAGATAGTGACGAGGAGGATTTTTATGAATATCTTTACCAAGTACCATACATAATATCTGATGATGATGATGAACAGGGTATGTATCACTTCACCTACTTAATAACTTTAAATAATAATAACAATTTCCTCAGTAGATAATGACAAAGAGGAAAATACTGCATAGGGTGAACTATGAACAAAGTTATTCAAATTATTTTGTCATGCCCATGTTACAACTGTTGTTCTGTGATAATATGTGATTGAAATTTTATTTACTTATTAACCCACAAATATCAAATGTTCCTTAATATTAAAACATTGTATTTCTTGATTTTGCGACTAAAGAAAATAATATCAGTGTGTTGTGGAGAATGCTGTGAACTGATTAGTTCATTGTTTTTTATGGAGATCATTTTCTATAGAACATTAAGTAAAAGAAATACGAAATACAGGGTAAATGTGTTTTTTTATTTTATTATTTACCATAGTTTAATGTATTCTTAAAAAACAAAAAAAATGTTCCTTGAAGCGTGCCACGCGGTAAAAGCGTTGTTTTACTTAACTTGTGATTGTTTTAAGTTTGTTAGTATTAAGTCAATATTTTAAATAAATGTTTTAAATAAAATATTAACGTGGTTTTATTTGTTGAAATATTGCAAGGTGGCATTTTAATAATAATAAAAACAATTTTGGAAGCCATTTGCAAAAATTTAAACACGTGCATTTTTACTATAAAAATCGGTATTTTTTTACTGAAAACAGTAAATGATGTGGCAAAAATAATCTTAAGCATTCTGATGCTACTTATATAACAAAAAGCCAACAAACTATATATATAGGTAAAAAATATATTTACCAAGTAAATTCATAAATATAAAATCAAAATTATAGATTATAAATTAGGTGATCTTACCTTGTATTTTCCAATTTTGTCGATTTAGAGGTAACTTGCTTGAACCGAAAAATGCTCTAGAAAATTGTATGTTCTTTCAATGGCGCCTGTCGTTGCAAAATGGTGAACTTTCCACATGTGGCGCCGTAAATTCCCACTTACTCTTCTAGGGAGTTTATTGTTACCCTTAAAGGAAAAAAGTTTCAAAATTAGTAACAATTATTATTTTGATTCTTTTGACGATGTTGCTCTTGCGGATTCTTTTTTATATATAAATTATTGGGAAGAGAAACCATTTGGGTGCGAGATGGTGCGTAAAGCGCATGCCCGCTTGCGCACAAGAGATTGTTTAAATAATCCACATGCCGAAACTTTATTTATTTTTAAGTTTTGTTTTTACCTTACATACAGAGTGTTTTAATGTATGGGTTTTTTTTTTACATGACCAACTAATAATTAAAATAAACAAAATTTTGTTGACATATCGTATAAACAAAAAATTAAGAATTTCTAAAAAATCAAAATATGTATAATTAAATTTTTTGTTTTATTTCAATTTATTCCATATTAAAAATTTAATAAAATGATTATATATTATTTTTAAGCGCAATTTAAAAAAATAATTTATTGTGTGTTTATTTTAAAGGTTTTTAAGCTAAGCATTTTAGCGTCTATATTTTAAATGTCTATCGGTTGTTTTGATGTCAAATGTCATAATCGTTAGAGAGGTTATAATGTAAAAATGAATAACGAAAAATTATATAAAAATGTTGAATAACCCACACCAAAATGAATTCGATGTTGGCTTAATTACTATACAAATTTTATCGGTTTTACTTTATTAATATGTCCAAAAACATGAGAAATAATTATGATAAAACATACAAAATCCTTCCAGGTAATAAATATACATTTTATAGCAATAAGTAAACGTGATATTTTTAAGATAATGATTATTATGAACATGAAGATAGTTTACCCAGTACATCAAAGCCAGTACATGTACAAAGAGTGGAAAAGTCATTGGATCTAACTATGTTTCTTCAAAATTTAAATAGTTCGTTAAATATAAGTAGTGATAGCGATGAATCAGAGGATACACCTAATATCAATGAAATCAACTCAGAAGCCCTTATGAGAGGTAAAGAATTCATTCAATTTAAATTAACTATTATAAAAAAAAATGTAATAACAAAAACCATAGATATCACTGCTTGTTCTATAAAATAAGCAGCTTCCATAGTACCATCTATTATTTTTAATTTTATATATTTTGTAGATTCTGAGCCTCATTGTACAAAAGACTATTATAATTTTAAAACAGTGTCGGGTAGTAGAAAATGGTTGGCTGATATACTTCAAGAAAATTCAGACACAACCCCAGACGATGCACAGTACAAACTTATCACTAGGTATCATGCTTTTCAAAAAAAATTACGACTCAGCAAAGAGAATCTGGAGAACTCAATGTACTATGGAGCTGGACTAATAAGTGCTGTTGATCACTATCCAGAGATAGAGAAAAGTTTGCCATTCAAACAGAATGATATTGATGAATCTCTGTACACTCCTCCTAAGGATGATTTGTTGATGGACTTGAACCTAGAGAATGGAATTGAGTTTCAGAATATGGATGAGGATGATTCTAATATTAATTCTGACATTGGATCAGCAGCACCATCAATATCATCACAGAGTAATCATCAGGTGAAGAGGAGAGCCAAGAAGTTTAAGGATGAGGAATCAAAGAAAAAATGGGAAGATCTGATGGCTAGCAAGAGAAGGAAACTTTTTACAAGCATTATAAAGAAGGAGATTGGGAAGCAGCATAGGGCTAAAATTAATAGACATAAGGAGTTGTTGATACAGACCAGAAGGGTGGCTCAGCAATGTGTCAAGTATGGAAGGCAAAAGGCTGTAAGTTTTATTATTATTATTGTTTTAATAAGTGTAGGTATTCATTGTTTTTTTAGTTGCAATCAGCTAGGACAGTGAAAGAACAACAATGGCGAATGAAGAGGTTGTCCAGGGAAAATATAGCATACTGGAAGAGATCTAGAAGGTTTGATAGGGAAGTCAAAAAACGTCTGGAAAAAGAAGCAGAAGAGCAAAGAAAAATTGATCATGAGTTGGTTGAGGCAAAAAGACAGCAAAGAAAACTGAATTTCCTCATCACACAAACTGAATTGTATGCGCATTTTATGTCCAAAAAACTTGGCACTGCATCACCTGAAGAGCAATTGAGAATCCTAAGTCAACTGGATGAAGAAGCTATCAAACTACACATAGATGATTATGATAGGTCAGTATATTGCCGTTTGTCATTTATTTTGTATACTTAAAGATTAATTTCAGTGAGGCAATGAAAGAAAAGGCAAAAAGAAACGCTCAGGATGCATTTAATAGTGAAAAAGCCAGAACCAGACATTTTGATATGCACGCGAACTCGTCGATGGAAGATGTTGAAGTTCCCGAAATTGAACAACCCCAACCCAACATTTTCAGAGGAAAATTAAAGGGATATCAGTTGCGTGGTATGAATTGGCTGGCGAACCTTTATTCGCAAGGCATTAGCGGGATTTTGGCCGATGAAATGGGCCTGGGAAAAACCGTGCAGAGCATTGCTTTTCTATGCCATATAGCTGAAAAATATTGTAAATATGTTTTTTTCAAAAATAGTGGCAATATTCTAATTTTATGAATACTTTTAGCTGTTTGGGGGCCTTTCCTCATTATATCCCCCGCGTCGACACTCCACAATTGGCAACAAGAGATAGCGAAATTTGTCCCGGACTTCAAGGTGGTTCCGTACTGGGGTAACCCGCATGAACGTAAAATTCTGCGCCAGTTCTGGGATCAAAAGGACATATACACCAAAGACGCAAGCTTTCACATCGTAGTAACAAGCTACCAAATCGTTATAACCGATATAAAGTACTTCAACCGCATCAAATGGCAGTACATGATTTTGGACGAAGCCCAGGCGATAAAAAGTACAAGCAGTATGAGATGGAAGACGCTTTTAGGCTTCAGCTGCAGAAATAGGCTTCTACTCAGCGGTACGCCTATACAAAACAGCATGGCGGAGTTATGGGCTCTGCTCCATTTCATAATGCCCACACTTTTTGATTCTCATGAGGAGTTCAACGAGTGGTTCTCGAAGGATATCGAAAGCCATGCCGAAAACAAAACTGGCATAGATGAAAGTAAGTGTTATTTGTTTATCGTGAACAAATCTAAAGTACATGGTCCATTTTAGAGCATTTATCGCGTTTGCACATGATTTTGAAGCCTTTTATGTTAAGAAGGATTAAAAAGGACGTGGAAAATGAACTGTCTGACAAAATAGAAGTTATGGTTTATTGTCCTTTGACAACAAGGCAAAGTTTGTTGTATGTCGCTTTAAAAAGGAAAATTAAAATTGAGGATTTGCTCCATTATACGGTTGGAGGGGGTGATTCTCACACAGTAGATAAGAATTTTACTTCTAATTTAATGAATTTAGTTATGCAATTTAGAAAGGTAAGTTTATATTATTAAACAAGGGGGTGTTTCTTAAATTCATTTTCTGTACAGGGTGTCACCAAATAAGTTGTCATCCTTTAAGGGGATGATAGTTTACGCAAAATAAGAAAGTTTTTTATTAGTGCCATTTTTTTTAAATAAAAATCATTAAATTTTGTATAAGTAATTTTGGGCAGCCACTGGTTGTTCCTGACCTATGACAACTGACGCAAAATATGCTTGCACAGTGGGCAATAATCTACATTCATTAAAATTACATTGTGTACATTGATAATTGTTTTTTGTTTTGCATACTCAGCTATTTTTAGGTACTTTGAATAAAACAATACTTTTTATTGTTAGGTATCTCGAGGTTTCCGTGGTCGATTTTAAATTTCACTTTTTACGTCGATTGATGCTCATGTAGCTATTTTTTAAGTGTTCCACAAAACCATAATAAATGTTCAACCACCCCGCCGTTATTGTCCACACAAAGTTGACAGCGGCGTAGAAAATTATGATGTGTCGCTCTTGCCATCATATCCGGGTGATTTCGAATTTCATCTGCCGCTGCAGTTGTTCTAATGCGTGAATGGTTCATGTAGCCCCAGAGAAACCACAATAGCAACCGAACTGTCAGTAATCAATGATAAAGAGTACCTACTAACCGATTTTGAATAAGTTTAAAAGTTTGCTTGAAATCACACAATACACTGTGCGCATACCTGTTTCTTTTTTGCTTGGATGAATAATATCATTGCTTTTAAAGGTAAAATAAAGTCAAAAATAAATCATAATTTTATTATTAAAAAACAGTAGCTCTAATGCAAACATAATAGAGGATAAACTTTCTTGTTTTGGCGTGTACTATCATCCCCCCAAATGATGAAACCCTGTAAAAAGAAAATTGCAAATTTAAAAAAAACCTCAGTTTGAATAATTTTATAATAATTTGATATTTTTAGGTTTGTAATCATCCCGAACTATTTGAAAGAAGGGATGCCAAATCTCCGATACGATTTCTAACGCTTTATTACAGTATTCCTTATTTAATTTATAATTATAATCTTAGGGAACTTTTAAAGTTAAAACTGCAAAAGTGGTTTTTATTCACGCCGAAATATATTTCTGATGCAATAAGGGATAGTTTTGCAACAACAATTTTTAATTTTTGTTTTTCATTAAATTTATCTTTTAACGAATTATTTGGTATATTCCAAGGGAATATACAGCAAAGGTATGCCTCACCTTTACATAGTCAAACTCAAATCTGACGAATATTTTTAAGGTGGACAAACTATTTTAATTCTGAAAACTACGACGACACAATGTACTACAGAAACCTATTCGACGATTACGAAAAACCAAGCATACGTTTGAGCCACAGTTTCAAACTATCAAAGCCCAACATCGAAAATAGCATTTTATCCGATTTTATCTTCACCAAGGCGAATCAAGGAAACAGAGTTGTATACACTTTAAGTGACCACACTTATCATGCAATGCAGGAAACTGTTGAGCACAAAAACATCAGATTAAGGCATGGCATGATAAAGCTTGAAGAAACAGACAATGAGGAAAATGGAACCATCGCTGAAAACTTTGTAAGTTCAATAACTGTTATATAACATAACATTTTTTCATCTATACCTTTCAGGATTCAGGGATGTGCAACCTGCCGGACTTTGTGCACAAGAAAAGAGCCTCCCAGGTTTTCAAATGCGAAAAGACTGACCTCCCGGCATTCCTATTTTGTTTTATGCCGAAAGTATCGACAAACCCTATCAGTTTGTACTGTTACTCTCGTAGAGCAGCTTGGGGCTTGATAAGGCATATAGAGGACTACAGTTTTAACTCTTTGAATCATTATTGGTCGAAAGCGACCGGTAATCAGTTTGTTTACAGGCCGGCGGAGAAGTTTTATCCCCAGCCTGCTAACTGTATTGATATAATAAGGCCTTTGAATGGTTGGTCGAGTATTGCCATACCTGACAAGGAAACTTTGGTTACCGATTCCGGTAAGCTTTCCGTTTTGGATGGTTTGCTGAAAAGGCTCAAAGAAGAGGGCCACAGGGTTTTAATTTACTCGCAAATGACAAAAATGATTGATCTTTTGGAGGTAATGCTTTCTGAATGATTTGTGAATTTACATATTTATATTTCATGTTTCTTGAAGGAATATATGTGGCACAGGCATCACAAATATATGCGTTTAGATGGTTCCTCAAAAATTTCCGAAAGAAGAGACATGGTGGCCGATTTTCAAGCTAGGACCGATATTTTTGTGTTTTTACTGTCGACAAGAGCTGGCGGCCTCGGTATCAACTTAACTGCTGCTGATACGGTGAGTTTAAAACACATTTAGCTCTTCTATCAATATATTTCTTTGTTTAAAAGATATTAACTCAAATTTTACACCAGAATGGCTTTTTATAGAAAATTATCTATATATAGAGTAATAAACCAATCATAGCACACTATGTGCAATGGTTTATTGTTTTCTATCTAAATAAAGTAAAGACGCCAATATCAAGATTCAGTAATATAAAAAACAAAAATACTTTAATATTTAATTTGTGTTATTAGTTCCAATAGGAATTTAGTTTTAACTACTGGCCAAGAGATGGCGCTGGTAATATTAATAGGATTTTTTTTGTTTTTCAATTTTGCATTGTGAATAAATAATTATTTTGATTAACACGTGTAAATTAATTGTTATTTTCTTAAAACTAAAAAAAAAAAATATTCCGGTACCGGGAATCGAACCCGAGCCTCCTGGGTGAGAGCCAGGTATCCTAGCCACTAGACCATACCGGATATATCAAAAAATCTCGCATGTTTCGTACGTGTACGAAATTTCAAAGATTCGAAGAACGCGCATTTTTTGGTTTATTTTGCTTGCCATTGCCGAAAAAAATATGCTGGTGCCCATTGAACTTTTAGTATTCTCATTGTCGTCTACCTGACGAATGCTACGATTTCGCTTGAGAACTTTTCAACTAAGTTCTCCCAGCATGTTTGTTTAAAGTACGTGGACAATGCATCCGTTAAACAGCGGCGTGCGTCTTTATTATCTTTATTAAATTGATTTGGTGAATACTGAAATTAAATTTAATGTCCTTAATAAATATTGTACGTAACTTTTTGATGGGCTGCTTACTTAAAGCTTGTGTAGTACAAACTCAAAATTGATTTTTGTTTTTGATTAATTGGTAAAACTGAACAGTTACGCCAATGTTCCGCGCGGTACATTACTATTAGAATCATGGTATAGGAAATTCACGACAAATTCCATTCAATTATTTACCTGACTATATCAAGTAATAAAATATTATGACTGTTGCAGGGCGTGAGAAAACATTTTAAATGTAATTGTTAATTAATTATTATTACACCTATACTATTAACATTAGTAAATGGCTTCAGTTATGCTATGTGAAAAATATTTTTACCATGTTTCCTTGTCTATTAAAGCAAAGAACGTGGATTTTTCTATACAAAACAATTGGCATTACTTCGTATAAGATTTTATTTTTAACTTTTTATAACTGTCCAAAAACTATGCTTTAGGCCAAAATATACGTTCTAAAACCACCTTAACATGTCATGAGTTCTAAGGGCCGTATGCAAAAACTGATTTAGCAGTGGATATAGGTTTTTGCATGACATGGCAACGTAGTAATTTTCTTTAAAAACTGTTGTTTTATAAAATAAATATTTCCCCTAAAAAAGTCTATTTCTCTACGACTACTTAAGAATAGTAACATTCTAGTGTAATTTTTGATCATAGAAAGGATGTTTTTCTGCAATACTGTGCGAGAATATTCCTACTCTTGTATAAGAATGGTCACAAGTAACGACATCTCCTGGCTGTTTACTAAACGTAAAAAATTTAAAAATATTTAAATATTACTGTATTATTTATTATTTAAAAATAATAGCAGTTGTAATTAAGGTTTAGGCACAAAAAATTAGTTACATTTATTGTTTTTCAAATAATAAAATCAAAATTATAATAAATTTGATATTAAAATGATAAATCAGTTACCTACTATACCGGCTTTGAAGTTTTGACAGATTCAAAAAGTTTAAAAAAAGACCTTTAAAATGTTGAAAAAGAATGGATGTTGACATAGATTACTTGTAAAATTAGTTTTGTATTTGTTATTTTTTTTATTAGTAAGTGTAAATAACTATTTTTAATTATAATAAAGATTTAGGCATACCAAATTTATTATAATTTACATTATAAAATTGTGACGGCACAAAATGGTTTGACAATACAAAAAACTTAAATGTCAAAAACTGCTTGGTTTCTTTTCTCTGTTTAAAATTATATAAGCGTTACTATTCTTACGTAGTCGTAGAGAAAATAATGTCTGAAACACGTTTGGAATAGCATATTCCACTCTCGTAAAACCGTCACACTCGCCTTCGGCTCGTGTGTCAAATTTTTCCTCGAGCGGAATATGCTGTATTCCAAACTTGTTACAGAATGTACTATTCTATACATTGACATTTTAAATTAGACAATGTCTTAAAAATTTATTTGACATTTGTGACATTTGCTTTCAACCATTGAAAATAATTTCGCTAATATGAGTCATGGTTTACTATATTTGTTTTTTGGCCAATAAAATCATCTAAAATGTAAATCGGTTGATATAATTTATAGTCGTTAACGACTGATTTAAAATATGGATAAAAATAGACAGTATTTTTGTTTGTAAATATACGAGGTGTGTTCAGAAAATAACGGGAATTGTTAAATTTCGCGGGTTCGGAGGGTCCGGTTGTCATAAAATTTGTTATGTAAGTAAGTATGATAAAAACTTTAGCTGTTTTCATTGTTTACTTTGTCTGTGGCAGCCGCTAAGGTTAGACGTGTTTTATGAGTTAAAAGTTAAAAGAAATGGATCAAAGAATTTGTATCCAATTTTGCTTAAAAAATGAAACAAATTCTGCGAAATGTTAATAAAGGCCTATAGTGAGTCTGCTATAAGTAAAACAAGAGTTTACAAGTGGTATAAGAGTTTCCAAGATGGCCGTGAAGACGTTGAAGATGACTAACGCACAAGCACATTCAAAACCGATAAAAACATGGAAAAAGTAAAAGAAATGGTTATAAACCATCATAGAAGTCGCTGATGATGTTGGTATATCGATTGGCTCATCCCATGAAATTTTTTCGAATGTTTTGGGTATGAAACGCGTGGCAGCAAAATTTGTTCTAAAATTGTTAAATTTTGAACAAAATTTTTGGCCAAAAACAATACTGTAATGATGCCCCAGCCTCCATATTCGCCAGACATGCCTCTGTCTGACTTTTTCCTATTCCCAAAAATAAAGAGAACCTTAAAGGCCCGTCTTTTTGCAAGCATTGATGACATTAAAAGCGCATCGCTGAAAGAACTAAAGGCTATCCCAAAGATCGAGTTTTAGAAGTGTTTCGAGTATTGGAAGAAGAGCTGGCACATGTGCATAATATCCAATGGGGACTATTTTGAAGGCGAAAACATTAATGTAGACGAATAAATAAATATTTGTTTCAAAAAACGAAAATTCCCGATATTTTCTGAACACACCTCGTTTATAAAAAATAAATTCAGAAGGTAAACATACCTATAACAAAGATATAATTAAAAAAAAAATTTTTAAGATAAAATTACTACCATGTTAATTATATCAAATATCTTTGTTGTTTATGTCTGATTGAAAAGCTGAATGCTTGAAATCAGTTGATTTATAACTTTCTTTGGTTGCATTGTAAAATAATTACCCCTAACATTGAACTTGGGTGAAAAATAGCCAAAATTGCAGATCTAGTATTCCTATTACTATAATATAATTAATTAATCTTTTACAAGTTCAAACTCTTGAATAAAATTTCCACCAACTTCAACAAAATTTCTTTGTTCTTTTCAGAGGCTTTAAGCCATAATTTTCGTTTTTCATACCTTCTAATGCAAATTTACTTATACCAGAACACATTGCAAACTGCGAACATAACCAAGTTTTTGTCAATAATAAGGTTTAGTCAGTTATAAATGTACTTATGTGTATATTTAATAATACATTTTAAAAATGTATTACTATTATTTAAGTATATGTAAGATAACCTACAAATCTTTAATGTCATTTAAAATTTCCTGTTCCAAATTGGTTCACACTTAAATCAGTGGATATGCGTAAATCAGTTGATATAAATAAATCAAAGTTTCTGCACAGTCTTAGGGCCTAAGAGTTTATATATCGTTTATTAAGCAAAATCTGATGATATGTGTAGTTTGATTTTCTTATAATAATGTCATCCAACGAGCATTATTTCTGGTTTGATTAACATTTTTAGCGTATAAATGTTATTTATATGTTGCAAAATGCACCAAGTAAGGAAGAGTCGAGCTATTCATAACATACTTCTCGGATGGTTGAATAAAATTTACGACGGATTCTAGGAATGTTTTAAATTTCAATTTTGCATAACGCCCGATTTTATTGAGGCAAAATAACCGCAAAATGTTGTGGCCTAGATCAGCATGTAATAAAAGCGTATGACATATGAGACCGAGTTGTCTTGTTTTTTCGAGCGATTCATCAGAGTCGGAAAAAGTAATTAAAGCGAAGTAGTGATGCATAAATATTAAAAGTTAAAAATACCAGTAAAACAAAAAAGCGACAACGCTTTTAAAATAAAATACGACGCTATATTTTTGACTGCCGCTACTGCAATTATTTGTCTCTTATAGCATTTTCTTTCGCAATGTCTGCCGAAAAACATCGCAGCTGAATTACTTCCGGCCTAGCGAGCAGGAAGGAACAATCCAACTGAATAAGATAGCTGCGTTAAAGGAAAATGTACAGCTTCGCGAAAATAAATCATAAAATTATCGATTTAGCGTTACAATGTATATTATACATATTTATATACATACATAATGGATTTTGTATTAAATTAATCGCAATAAACATGAAAAGGTCTTTATAATCATGCACACACAAAGGAAATTCTTTTGTGTCTGGAAAATTTAATTAGTTTTCATAATCTACACCCCTTTTTTAATTAGGTGATAGTTCGATTGATTTTTTTTATTAACTATAAACAGGATGTTGACCTCAAACTCAATAAAGCGTTTTTCGCGAAAATTTTCTATAACCAGCCTTTTGTTATAAACCACAAAAGAATATAATTATTTCAATTAAAATAATTAACGTATTTTTTGCACAAGGGGATTTACAGTTTAGTTGATTGCCTGGCTTGTCGCACAAATAATGTAGAAAAATGATCAAAACAGTTAGACAAGACAAATATTATACCTACATTGTTATAGTTATTAACCCATAATGAGCCTTATTTTACTACTATACTTTTCCCTGCGCATTATAATAATCAGATAAATATCTATGTTGCAAAATATTTTACGTTCATTCACGGTAGGGTTTTTTAAAACGTGACAACTGCGCATACATTTTAAAAATGTTTAAAATGTTTATTTATTTTCGTATAGATGTCGCTTTATACAAATTTCATTTAAATCATTTACAATTTTATGTGACATATGACAGCTGTCAAGCAGTTTTAACCTAACTTTTTTCCAATTTTAACTTTAGCTTTAGCCAGTGAGCAAAATTTTTGTGATTGTAATTTTAGATAATATTAAGTAGTTGCCTTAGAAAATAGTATATTAAAGAACTAATGTCATAAGACGTCATTTTGTCGCACGCGGACAATTTATAAAACGAAGCTATTTTATCTATTTGCAAGAATTCTATAAACAAAAATTAATTTTATACCTTAAATTTAATTTGGTCCAATTTTACTTTAAATAGTTGGTATCACAGTCATTGGTTTGACAGTTAATGTCAAAATCGATTCGCCATGCCGTCCTTAATTTACTTATTTACAATAAGCGGGTGTTAATGTTAAAGAAGAAAAAAAGGATTTTCTTTGGTGTTAAACAAAATTTATTGCCAGAAAAGTCTCGTAAGTACTAGAAAAATCATAAAAATATTACAACCAATATGCAAAATATTATGCTGTTTAGAGTATAGCCAACCTATAAAATCAAAATTTGGGTGGGATAAAGTATCTCATTACAGCACCGAAAGCGGTGTTGTAATGAAGTCATTATAAACGCAAAATAGATAAAGTATAGTATGCAACTCGTTTATAAACTTTTCTAGGCATTTAATTAAGCACTCGCTCGTGCCTGAATTAAATTCGTGACTACTATTTTTTAAATGTTTGACGAACTATACATAGAAGGATAGTTGGTGGAAATATGGGTAAATTTAAAATGTTCTATTTTGAATGTGTAGTTTTCATTATCCGAGAACGCATTACACACAGGCATATCGTTTAACATACAGACTTAAAGGCATAGAAAACAACTCTTAAAAGTGAGATTGTTCTTCGCATAATATACCGGATATAAACAGGAGTATAGTGGCATTTCCTTCCCTGCGCACGTGTGATATCGCGTATCAAGATGTTCCAGTGGTTGAACTACCTTTTTTCCCTACATTATATGCTCGATATGCCTTTTTACATTGAAAAGGCCCACCCCCGTGCTGACAATGGAAAAGCGGGAGTAATCGACCGGATTAGATTACGTATCGAACAAGCCGATATACTTAAAACAATTGAGATAAAGAAAGAGATTCATTCACATGCGTTGTCTATGGGTTAATGTTGTGTCCGCGGGGCAGAGGTGGGCGTTACGCGGTCTCGTGTCACAATACTGACCTGTTTAACGCGGCTACGAAAGTGCAAGTCGGCCCTAGGGAAATAAAAATAAACGCTTTTTTACAGGTTATTTTTTACGATAGCGACTGGAATCCCACCGTTGACCAACAGGCCATGGACCGGGCTCATCGTCTGGGTCAAACCAAACAGGTCACAGTTTACAGATTAATTTGTAAGGGATCCATAGAGGAAAGAATACTGCAAAGGGCCAGGGAAAAAAGCGAAGTATGTTTGTACAGGGTGTCCCTAATTGGGCGCTTAAAGTGTCCTCTTAAAATTTCAATACTCCAACGATGTTGGCATCTTCAGAAGCGAAGTGTAACTCAGTTACCTAAATTTCTTAATTTGGTTACAGAAATATTTATATCACCCTTATATACCCCTTAAAGAGCTTATTTGGGGAGTTTATGAAGGTTATCGGTACCTATTTTAGTAACACTATAAAACCCAAGTTTTATAACTAGAGATAACAGGAATATTATGGAAACCACTATATAACTTCCTAAAGAACTGCTAACGGCTTTTTTCCTTCTTTTAATATTTCTCTCTACCTCAGGCACATTTAAAATATATATTTCTTCATAGGTACGCTATCTTTCTTATTGTCATCTTATTCATTAACTTGTTTAAACCACGTGAATATTTTGAGAAGCCAAGTATGTCGAAAATATTAATGGTATATAATTTTAATCTAAGATTTTTTACTCAAGTGCAAGGTAATTTTTATTGTAAATATGTACAAAATACATCGAAAAACACCAGGGGACATCAAAATACCAAAATATAAATATTTTTTAAACTATTAAAAAATATACCTATGAATTATTTTTTAAATACATTAATATCTTTTTTTTGCTTACATCAAAGTAGTGAATTGGTCAAATAAGTTGTTTTTGTAATACAATTCGATTAACATTTATTTTATGTAAAATTCAATCATGGCGGAAATAATGGATCAACCTTGAGCCCTCTTATATTGCTCATGGTAATTTTATATAACCTAAGGTACTAGTTCAGTTTTATAGGTGTATCTAAGTTATTTAAAGTGTTATTATATAATTTTGAAACTCTTATATACATTGTAGTAACTGTCGTTACTACAAGTGATGTTATAAAACTTTTGATAGGCAACCATCTAACCGCTCAGGTTAGTGTTTTTGCCTGCAGTAATAATGGTTTTAACGCAATGGAATCTTTTTATTTCACTAAACATTCGATTTAATCCAGTTTTAAAATATTTATGTTAATAGTATTTTATTACTCATATATTTTATGCTAAATATTTTCTTTTCAACCAATTGTTAATTAAAATTGCGTCGAAAGCCTAATTTCTGTTTCAATTACTAAACATTTTTGGTTTATTAAGCACATAAATAATTATTAACTCACATTTTTTATTTAAAAACAGGTAACCGCAAACTTTATAAACCTACTGGTAACGGTTACTAAAGGTTATATAAAATGTTTGTAGAAACAATTATATAACCTTATAAAACTAGTAAACTAAATGGAGATTTTATAAAACCTTGTTAAACTCTTATATAATTTGACAAATCTTATATAACCTTTATATAATTTATCGTTACCATAAGTAGTACAAATTTTTTATTGGGTTCGCTTCTGAAGATGCCAACATCGTTGGAGAAAAGTACTTTAAGCACGTGTTTTGTTTTGGTGGGGAATATTTCTAATATTTGTTGAAATTTTAAGACAAATTTTCCTTTAATATTTTTCGGATTCGCTAAATTGCAAGGGTTATTAGAGTTACTAAACGCCTACATTCGAACAGAAATACTGCGCTGTAGTTGGCGACTTTAAAAGTAAAATAACTCCCGCAATTTTGCGATAAATGTACCTTTACCTTTGGGCCGCCAATTTTGAGATACCCTGTATAGTGCACATTATTTATTTTTCTACAATAAAAACTTTAAGATTCAAAAACTCGTTATAAGCGGTGGTAACTTCAAGCCCGACACACTTAAACCCAAAGAGGTTGTTTCGCTGCTTTTGGACGATGACGAATTAGTACAAAAATGTAAGTTATTGTTTGTGAACCCAACTCTTTTGTTATTAACCATTGTTTCGTAGATCATTTGAGAGTGGAAGGTGGCGGTAAGCAATCAGAGGAAGCTACGAAACGAAAGAACCCCCAAACCATCAGCAAGGTAATATATAATTATAATTAGTGTAAAAATAATTGACAGCCAACCTTTTCTTCTCTCTCTCAGTCGTCTTCAAATGAATTGAAAAGATTCAAGCAAGATAACAGTTCTCAGGAAACAATTGACGATTCAATAGGGTTGGACAGTGGTCCGAACAGCCCGACAAGCGTCAATTCGCCAGATTTGGCTGACGATTTTGCCGATGGTTACAACGATGACGGCGACTCACCAATTACGAACAGTGAGTGTTTCATTTTTCGTGATATACAGCGATTAAGAGATTTCCGAATTAATTAATAATATCGTGACAACGAATCTTTCTATGTTGCGACGGTAATTTTTTTGGCAGGTGATCAATTTCACCATGTGCATGTTGGGTACTTTCAGATCCATTACCACACAGATTTAATCAATTTTAATACCATTTTATTCATATTTTTTAATTAAATGCCCATAATTTGCAGTTAAAATTTCAAAGAATAAAAAAAATTTTACAATTAATTTTATCGATTTTTTATAAATACAGAGATATCCACAAAAAAATAAGGAACAAATTTTTATGAACAAAAAGATTTTATTTCTACGATGTGATTCACTATTGCTAGCGTTTTAACGCGTCGAAAAAAAACGGAAAAATTGTGGAAAAATCTGTTTTTCCGTTTTCATTGGGCCTTGTAAAAATTGGCAAAATAATCGATCCACACAAATTTTCGATGAATCTTTTATTTGATACCGGATTTAAACGAATATTAAAGAATATTGTAGATAAATTAATTACTAAAAAATAGACGTACGTTTATAATATACAGGTTTAAACAAAAATATGTTTTTTACCATAAGTTTAAGACACTCTGTAGAGTGGCAAAACCGTATATTGTTCTAAATTTAGTTTTATTTATCAAGTCACATCTATTCTTAACAGTTTTGTTTTTGGTTCACATCGATATATTTATTTTTGTGGAAAATATGGATTTTTTAAAAAAACATTGCAATTTCCAATATTTTTCTGTATGAACAACTAAGGTTGCTGTGGTCCATCCATATGCTGTGGAGAATGACAGTGACAGTTTTATTGAATCATCCCATACTTGGACATGTCATACACGGCTTTCAAAAGCTATCAAATTGTTGTTTGCAAATTAATGTTTAAATTTTGAGGTGTCTTCTTACTTTAAAAAATGGATATGTCCCCGACTGATGTTGCCAGAGCAATTAATTTAATCCAGGATGGACGGTCACAGTATTACGTGGCAAGTGTTTTAAACGTCACAAGAAGTAAAGTACAAAGAGCAACATCGGTCGGAGACATTTTTAAAAGTAAGAAGACACCTTAAAATTAACACATTAATTTATAAAAAACAATTTGATAGCTTTTGAAAGCTGTATATGACATGTCCAAGTATGGGATGATTCAACAAAACTGTCACTGTCATCCTCCGTAGGCTATGGATGGACCATAGCAACCTTAGTTCTTCATACAGGAAAAATATTGGAAATTGCAATGTTTTTAAAAAAAATCCATATTTTCCACAAAAATAAACATATCAAGGTAAACCAAAAAGAAAACTGTTAAAAATAGATGTGACTTGATAATTAAATCTTAATTTAGAACAATATACGGTTTTGCCACTCTACAGAGTGTCTTAAACTTATGGTAAAAAAATCTTTTTGTTTAAACATGTATATTATAAACGAACGTGTATTTATTAGTAATTTTTAAAATGTGAGCGATTCCCCATTAATGTATCTACAATATTCTTTAATGTTTGTTTAAATCCGAAATCAAATAAAAAAGTTATTTGCGATTGAAATTCATCGAAAATTTGTGTGGATCGATTATTTTGCCTGTGAGTGTACTACGGATACCTAATATGGAAAAATTTCCCAATTTTTCCGTTTTTTTGCCTGCTCAATTCATCCGGAAATTTTAAAACACTAGCTATAGCGCGATGCGATCTATTTTTATAAAATATTTTCGATGCGCTGTCACTTCCGGTTTAACCGGAAGTGACAGTAATTTGCATTTTTTAATTTTACGTAAAATTCTGGAGCTATTCCATTTTAAATCGTTCTCCCATTGTTTTTGATAAACTTAATTTTTTTAAATTTTGACAGATGGAGCGACTAACTAAAATGTCTGTACTACCAACAATTGTAATGTTAAAAAGTTCATTCTTGGTATACACGTTAACAAAGGAGTATCCTATCAGTAGTCATTAATATTATTCCAAAATGTTAGACAGAGTGTTTGGTATTGCGCCATTTTTAGGACACCCTGTATATTTTTTTACTATAGCCGGTAAAATATTAAAATGAATGCATTTTTTAGTAATTTTATTTCGTAATAGAAAATTTGTTTGTAACATTTTGATCTCAGTTTAACATAAAAATTGCCATCCTTAATTTACTTATTTACAATAAGCGGCTGTTAATGTTAAAGAAAACAAAAAGGATTTCCTTTGGTGTTATTTATTGCCAGAAAAGTACTAGAAAAATCATAAATATATTATAACCAATATGCAAAATATTATACTGTTTAAAGTATAGCCAACCAACCAACCAATAAAATCAAAATTTTGGGTGGGATAAAGTATCTCATTACAGCACCGAAAGCGGTGTTTTAAAATAAATACAAAAGTCAATTTGTCTGAAAATAAAAAAAAAATCCAATTCGTAAATTCCAAAATTTTAAAACACTGGCTATAGCGCGATGCGATCTATTTTTATATAATATTTTCGATGCGCTCTCACTTCCGGTTAAACCGGAAGTGACAGTAACTTGCATTTTTAATTCTACGTTAAATTCTGAAGCTATTGCATTTTAAAGCATTCTTCAATTGTTTTTGAGTTATTAAATTTTTTCAAAAAATTTGTTGGATTGACTAACTGTCTGTACTACCAAAAATTGTAATGTATATTTTTTACCATATCTTGTAAAATATCAAAATGAATGCATTTTTTACTCATTATTTCGTAATAGAAAATGGGTTTTAAACATTTTGATGTAAGTTTACCATATAAATTGCACTAAATTTTCAATAAATGCAGAATTTAAAAGAATGGTTTCATATTAAAAAATAGACCACACATTTTTTTAATTTCATTTTCTTTGTGCATAATGGATGTAGTTACGTCCAATTTGATCCATGTTAAAAATGGTAACATGAAAGTAACTTACTAGTCACTTATTTTGCTTATTTTGAATGCTTTTTAAGGGCATATCGGTCCGGTCTCTAATAATTAAATGATGGTACTTTCATATTTGAATGTTTGGGTAATCGATCGCTTCCTATGTGAAACTGTATAACCGCACTATGATTGTTTATGTTTTTTTTTCCTTTCAGAATACACAGTTTATAATGTGTACGGTTCGGCTGTAAAACCGCGGACTGCGGGACGTGGCACCTCGAGACGCGGCAGACCAAGAGGTTCAAGAAGCAGAATGTCCGGCCTGGGAAGAAACAACTCGAACAATTCGGCCGCATCGGCATCGACATACTCCACCGGTAAGTAATCGATAAATATTCCAAAAAGGAAACAATAATTGCCGATAAAAAACATTCGGGGCCATTAGGGAATATCCAAATTATACTCACATCCGAATCGTGTCCTGTTTTTTATTCGAATATGGTCCTTTGTACCTGCAAAAAACATACACCTTCAGACCTAATTTCAATGGATTTCCTTAAGGATATCCGCCAGATGCGACCTTATATGGGGCACATGAATAATCAGGGTGTTTTCTAATTTATAAAAGTAATTAAAATCACTTTGAGAAAACCCTGTATATAGTTTTTTTGGAATAGATATGTTGGGGCGTGCTATTGTATAACAAAGAAGGTGTATTATTGTAAGATGCTTTATGTATATGTATTGTTACAATCGCAATGCTTCGGATGACAAAATCATTCGTTTAATTAATTAGACAACTACATGAATCATTAAAATAAATATTGCGAAACGGCTTATGTAAGAATACACCTCCGCGAAAATGTTTTAAGGGAATATTAAATTATAAATAAAATTCGTGAGAACAAAATTTGAAATTCAAGCCCGGTCATCTCACATAAATCATTCGACATGACACGTGGCTTACGTTAAAATTTCGAAAATTAGTATGTCATCTGCTTCCCGAAAAAAGGTCAATCACCACATGTAGGAGTCAGTAGCAAAATACATTTGTCTTAATGCAACTTCCTTGAAAACTGCATGGGACTTCCTCATTTGAAATGTCCCAAGCATTCTCCCCCACACCTGTAGCAAAAACAAGCCTGAAAAAAATGGAAAAATAAATTTTTACTTTCCTTGTTGTTGAAATGACTTACGAGGGGTTTTCTAACAGATCTTATAGGTGTGGAAAATAGCTCGATTTCCTCGACTCAGTCGTCGCCGTCGAGCAGTTTTGTGGACGGTATGTCGTCTGCAGGGCATGGTGGCAGTCCTTCGGTGAGGAGAGGTCCTGGCAGGCCCAGGTTGAAGCCTGGAGGTCCTCCGAATGCCGGCTCAAGGGGTACATATAGACCTCGTAAACCTGCTAGGCCGTTGCCGGTGCCGTTGCCATCAGATGGGTCGAATGTGAATGTGACTTCTTCTGGTAACGCGCATCCATCTTATTCGAGTTATTTATATGATTTTCCGGATCAATCGGATTCGTAGTAAGAGTAGAGTAATAATGATGTAAATTGTTTTAATTTTAACCATGGACAAATTTTCTTTTTAACTCATTTTTAATGTGTATCACTTTATTTATCACGATTTTTTTATTATTTTTTCGATTATTTCACGGTTTTAGTGTATGATATGTATATTTGCGATTTCAATTTTATTTTTTACAAGGAGCATGCGAAATTTTTATAAACGACGAACAAATTTCTTGTACATTGTTAAATATTTTTCATCAATAATTTTAGATCGTAAAATAAATATATTTGTGATAATAATTCTTTTCTTTCTTCGACCCCTTACATTCACACGATGAAGAGATTAGTCACGCAGGTATGTAAGAAAAAAATAATCCTATCTACGACAGTGGTCGAAAAACGTCCACAGACCAGTCCAGATTTTTTTATTTTAGACCTATATAATTACACATTATTATTTCCGGCTTCGACTTTTTCCCACAGTGGACAACATTTTCCTACTTAAAATACGTGTTTTTTATTTTAACGACAAAAACTATTATATTGGTGAAATTAAAATTAAATTTGATACAAGTACACATTTTAATATACTTCCCAACTTTAAACACACTTTTGGTGCTGGTAACAATACAATCTATATCTAGTATAGTATATAGCAGAGCTGGCCAAGTACTGAGTACTTTTACTCTTATTTTAATTACGAGTAAAAAAGTACGAGTACTTTTTTACTCATAAGTATATTTAATTTGAAATACTTATTACTCGTACTTACAAACCAAATTCAATGTACTCGTAAAAAATACTCGTGGAATTCACGAGTAATATATACGAGTATTTTCGTTTAATATATGGATGACTTTTTTCCAAAATATCGTAATCAAAACATTTTGTTTGAAAGTCTGTTTTAAATTATATAATATATAGTATAATATAATATATTATTATAGCCTATAGGTTTTATAACAAGTAAATAGGTAAAATTATAAACTATTTAAGAATTGTTATTATTTTATGTACATAATGTTTAAAATAAATAATTTTATAAATTTGTATTTGTATAGCTCAGGACCAAAGTATGTACACTCTTTAAAGATGAATTAGTCAAAAATGACTAATTACCACAGTTATTAGTGGAAATTAGTAAAAACACCGTCAAAAATTATGAAAGTGGAGCAGTTTTTAGGATATAGTAAATTCCATATTATATGGAAAATGGACTATATCTCAAAAACTGTTCTACTTTTCTAACTTTTGACATTTTCGGATTCAGGGAAACATTTTACATGGAAATTGACTGCTAAATGTTAAAAATACAATTGCTATTGACAAGAATTATTAGTGGCTGCTTTTTCGCTATGACAATTAGTCATTTTTGACTAACCCATTTTTAGAGAGTAAAGAATAATCAATTATATTAACTAACTTTTTTTTCTTCAAAAGTACTCGTACTCTTTACTCGTGTTTTCACGATTACTACTCGTATCCGTAACCTCTCTTTACAAATGTACTTACGAGTAAAGTACTTACGAGTAAATATTTTAAGTACTCGTACTCGTAATTTTACGAATACTTTTTTTTGTACTCGTGCCCAGCTCTGGTATATAGTATAGTATACTCAATATTGTAATTTATTCAAAATGGCCGCCGCTCCAAAATGACGGATTACCTTGTAATTTACAACCTTCTTGACATGTGAATCACATGAAAGAGATAAGGTAAGTTACGTCATAATAAATCCAATATGGCGGCCGCCCCAAAATGGCGGATTACCTATGTCTTCCCAACCATTGGTATAACATGAATGGGTTTGTCGAGTAGAAAACGATAAGGTGAGTGACGTCATACTAAATCCAATATGGCGGCAGCACTAAGATGGCGAATACCTATTTTTTCACAACCATTTGACATGGGTATCAAATGAAAGGATTTCTTGGAATGCTTATCAAATAAAAGGGTTAGACTAGTAAAAACGATGAGGAGAGTGACGTCATACTAAATCTAATATGGCGACTGCCCCAAGATGGCGAATTAACTATATCTTCACAACCTCCTTTACTTGGGTATCAAATGTTTGACGGGTAGAAAACGATAAGGAGAGTGACGTCATACTAAATCCAAGATGGCGAATTACCTGTTTCTTCACAACTTTCTTGACATGAAAGGGTTTGTCAAGCAGAATACGTGACGTCATTCTAAATTCAATATGGCGGATATAACCAAAAAACTAACTAAATTTTAAGACTAATAGTAACATTTTTACTTGATGTTTGGCGATATAATAAAAGAGGTTTTTCATATAATAAACAGCAAAAAATCTTGCTCAAAGAATTTGATAGATGGTATGTAACATTATTCTAAAAATAAGTTATTGATTGGATTTGCAAGGTTCTTTTAGATAAGAGGTACTCGAAAGTTCATAGACTCACACTTAAAACACTGAGACTAAATCCGTCTAGTGCCTCTTGTAAGTAAAAATTTCTCTGGAGGAGAAAAAAATTACGTTTTGCGTTCGAGCTTGGTTGTGTTTAAGTGAGAAGTCGCAGAGAAAATGCGCGTTCTTTAACTAAAGCTTGTGTTTACATTTTGAGATATTTATATCCTCACTTAGAAGAGGTCTTGATATAATTTTGCTAAATATAAAGCGCTGAAAAATAAATCGTAACCTTTCATGTTAGTTTTGAACAACGGGCCATCGATTTCTTGCGTTTTTTCGAACTCTGTTGTGTTGCAATAGTTTTAGTGCATTTTGTGATCTAAAATGTGATTGAGCAAACAGTTCAGTGCGAAACACAAAATGTTTCGGTAAGAATTAAATCACTAAAATGTTTTCTATGTTGTTTTGCTGACGAACGAACGTTTTTATTAGAAAGTAAATATCGCTCCAGATGACATTTGACGCGCTCAATTTAAAACTAATTAATTTGACAAAAAACATTTCGAAAATAAAATAATTTTGCTTCATTATACTTGAAGCATATAAAGTTATTTTCGACATCAAAGTGGCAAGCATAAATATTTGGCAGTTTAAGATATATTTAACGATACTAAAAATTCGGTACCTATTTTAAACGAGGTTTAAATTGATTGCACATTTTATTACAGGGCCAAAATAATATTAATTACTTATATTGTATTTTGTATATTTCTACTTGGCATTATGCTCGAGTTATTAACCTATTTTAATTATTTGGACTATGCCAACGTATTTTGGGACTTGAATGCAGTTATAAAAATAAGAAAGTGGATCACCATTTTTTTTGCTATGCATCTGCTCTATGTTATGTAGATTTAATTAAAAAATATTACTTTAATTATGGTCTCCATTAACATAAACAATTTTTTTGTCTTATCTATATAACTTATTTCCGTTCTTAACAGCCCTTATCTTTGACATAGGGGTGGATATTTTTTAAGGGCGACATATTTGTCTTTTGTAACGTGTACCTATCTAGTTTAAACATCCTTTACGTTTTGCCTAATTTTAATACCTACGGCGACCGCCAACACATGTCAAATTGGGTTTCGTGCGTTCGTGGATAGTCGAGGAATGTGGCCAAAGTTTGCATAAAAAGGTAGAAGACAACAATTCGAAAAATGTCTCGCTTTTCGATAAATTCGTTTGCAATTAAGAAAAAAAAACAAAGAAAAAAACGTAACGTATAGGTCTCTAGTGTTTTTCGAGGTAGCTACTGCTATTTTAAGTTTCCAGACACCGTGTTGCCAAATGAGTAAAAAAACTCAAACACACATGTGTCAAGACAATCTCACGTTTAAAAAATGTTACTATTTTCATCTATTTGCCGTTTCGTCAAGTATGTAATGTTCATTCTGTTATCATTAGACTGAACATATAGGAAACTCGACAAAAAAAGTGATAATTATCGTACGAAAAAATCACCCCAATATCCGCTATTTTTAAATGCCTACTGTTTACTTAATACCGTCTTAATGGTATCAAATTTTGTTCCAAATACAAGCGAGGCAATTACATTTTTTATTTGCTTATTTAAACTTTATGTTTGTGGTTTCTTCTACTGAACGTGGATTTTTAGACTTTACGACCTTTTAATTAATTATCTTTACTTTGCTTGTTTTCATTATTTTACACCAATTAGTCAAACTACAGCAGGCTTTGTTAATATTTTCGCGTACAGAGGATAATTCATTAATTTTAAACAAAAAGGACCTTAACTAGTGTCCATAAACATCTTTTATTTAATGCATGTATGCACCGAAATACATCGCAAACATAACTCATCGCGTTTGGCAAAAGTGCAATTTTTCACACAAAACTTCAATGAATGAAACTCACTGACCCATTTCATAAAAATTTTCATACATACTTACCTCGAAATTTAACAAACAAATATTGCCAAAAATATATAATAATAATAAATATGGTTATATACGAGGTGTGTTCAGAAAATAACGGGAATTGTTAAATTTCGCGGGTCAGACATGCCTCCGTCTGACTTTTTCCTATTACCAAAAATAAAGAGAACCTTAAAGGGCCGTCGTTTTGCAAGCATACACTGAGAGAAAAAATGTTGTAGAATCATTCAAAACGATAATAATTCATAGGGATTCAAATATGTTTTGGCGTCATTGGTGTGTCCCATTAAATTAATAGGTGTCTAACAATTGTATAATACATATCTTTTTGAAAGAGGCAATGAAATAAAAATATTTCTTTTTGTATAAATATTTTAAAGAGGGTAAACTTTAAAAGTGTTTAAAAACATTGTAAAGCTGTTGGTAAATGAAACTACAATTTTTTCTATTTGAATCAAATTTACCCGATTAATTAAATTAATATAATTTCATTTGCTTTTCATGACATGATATTTTTTTGAGTGTAGATGACATTAAAAGCGCATCGCTGAAAGAACTAAAGGCTATCCCAAAAATCGAGTTTTAGAAGTGTTTCGAGTATTGGAAGAAGAGCTGGCACATGTGCATAATATCCAATAGGGACTAATTTGAAGGCGACAACATTAATGTAGACGAATAAATAAATATTTGTTTCAAAAAACGAAAATTCCCGATATTTTCTGAACACACCTCGTATATATGACTTGTTTACAGATCTTTAACATAAATTGTCGTCCCTGAATAATAAACTAAAGAGATATTTAATAGCGAGCAATATTCTTAAAAAATATATAACAAATTTCTCAAACCCCAACTCAACCTCATTGGAAAGCTCTTGAAAATTGCCATTTAACAGTACTAAACAAAATACTTTTTTATTGTTTAATTTTTGAAAAATATGCAACAAAAATGTTTGTAATTATTTATTCCAATTTTTCGTTATAAATATCAAATTAAACAAATTTTTTGTAAAAACATTAGTAAAAAAACTACACTGAAAAAAATAATCTCTTAAAAGAAATGAAAATCACTTTTATTCAAAAGATTTGCGCTTTTTAATAGGGCCAAGAGCTATGTTTCTTCATCTAAATCAGAAACTATCTTTAAATAAAATTTTTAAATTACTTGAGGGAAGAGATTATATTTCT